GCCTTTTCTAATAATAAAGAAGTCTCGTATATAGCTTCACTTTTATATATAGCCGTTATCCGTTTGCTTTACTAGCGCGGAATATACGGACTACGTTACCTTCGCACTATATTTAAGGCGAGCTTCCTAAGCTCCTTCTTCTACTCGATTACTAACTAACTCGCTACTACCTAACTATCCCCCCCTTCTATCTAAACCCTTTAATTATTATTATTAAGCAACGAATACACTTGCAAACTCGTTTACAACCTACTTCCGCTTCGGTCGACTATATCTTCCGGCGCCCCGAATCCGCTAGGCGCTAGTAGTAGTAACGACCTACCTACCTCTATTAACCTAAGCCTAGCTGCCCTAGTTCCGATCGAAGCCCTATCCGATAGCGCCTTAGCTGCTATAACTAGCCTCGAGCACTACTTCTAGATCGTTACCGCCCTTAAAGACCCTTAAAAGAAGATCTAGAACGCTCGCACTCTACTACGCGTTATTAATAGGAATATTAAGAAGGCTACTATCTTAGTTACGTACGGTATAAACAACTTGCGTTAGTCTATCGGTAAGCGTATCTTTAAGCGCGAGGTTCTTAACGATATAGATATCGAATAAGCCTTTCCTATCGTCTATAGCCTCGAGATAGCCGGTACCTAGATTCGTTTACGCTTTAAGACCCTCGACTAGGCCTTCGAATATTAGGGAGGACTAAGCAGTCTTCTTAAGAGCCTTATTAACTTCGCCTACGATAGACAAGAGCGTGCTAAGCAGGTCTCTTCGTTCGTTAATAAGTATAAGGTCTGTCTTTAAGGCGCCGAGTACCTTTCCTATACTATAATCTATCGCGTATCTACCGCTAGTAAGAAGGTAGGCAAGTAGTTACTTAACTTATCCTTTGCACTTAACGACTTTACGACAGCCTACTAGAAGAAGTACTACGATGTAATCGTTTAGGTAGATCTTAGTATATAGATAACTAAGGATTTACTAAAAGAGAAGAGCTATCGTATTAATAGTATAGGCTTTATTATTAAAGGTTAAGAGGCTCCTATCGTTAATATCCTTAAACGTAAGGCTCTTCGCCTAGAAACCGAGGCCGATACGGCTACTAGTCTTACGCTCGCTATAGAAATGCAGGCTAAAGATCGTCGCTCGACCTGCAATTATAAGGTCCCTTAAGAAGTTTAAGACGAGCGCGCTAAGGCCGAAGTAGCGCGTAAGAAGGCATTGTATACTCGCTAGGCCCTCCGTAAGGCTACTAAGAAGTATAGTACCCCTTCTAGTACCGACTATAGTACTAACTATAGTACTAACTATAGTAACTCGGATATTAATATACTAGATATACTACTAGAAGATATCTCCTCCGAAGGCTCCTTTAGCGAGCGTAGAGATAGAGGCCTCTCGCCGATCCTATTAACTAAGAATATCTATAGTTCCTATAAGGGCGACTCTATTACGTATCTTATTACCGAAATCGATATAGTTCCTAAGGCCTCTATAGGCAAAGCTCCTACCGCTCTATCTATCTATTAATAGCTCGACGACCTTAGTAAGCTAGGTAAAGAGCGGTTTACTATATATGCTAACTATATTAAGAAGGCTACTAAGGTCTATAGTCTCTATACTAGTGCTAAGGCGAGTGTCCTCGTCGGTCGCTTATTAAAGATTAGTCGCGAGGTTGCTAGTTAGGATGCCTTTACTACCCTTAAGACTAGTTATACTAACTAGTTTCCTAGACGTCCTACTACCGCCCCGACCTCCCTAGAACTCTACGTATTTAACCCTACTAGTACTATTACTCGCGATCTTACGCCGACTAAGCGTCGGTATAAGTTAATTACTAGCATTCTCGGCTAAGGTACCTCCTTCGACCGCTTTCGTTAGACTAGTAATGCTATCTTCCCTCGGGTCTTCGGTTAGATACAGTCGCCTCGTAGAGCGTACCTTCCTCTTATCGTCGACCTAATATAGGAGGAGTTTCGTATATTCTTTTAGTATATACGTAAACTGCCTAAGTCTAAGTAGGAAGGCCGTAATACCCTTTAAACCTATAGAGTAAGCAACTAAATCGTCCGTTAGTATCCCGCCTTATAGCTCTTAGCCGTTGCCCTTCGACCTAATTATATATACGAGCTTATCTCTGTCCCTAAGCCTACTAAGTACTTTAAGGTAGGTAATAGTAGTTATAAGAACTGCCCTACTAAGGAGACTTCTCGTCTCGGACAAGATATAGTTAAGCTCGCGGCTAGTAAGGGTGCTAGCTATCTACGTATTAAGGTTTCTCTTATGTCTAAGGATAAGACCGCCTATTTAACTATTATCGAAGGTATATACGAACTAGAGGTCTTCGAGAACTAGGTTAAGAAGCTTAATGCCCGTAGCCTAGTTCTACTAAACAAGATTAGCAAGCTTACTAATAAGCACCTTACTAACAACGACCTCGGCTATATATTCGATAGTTAGCCTAACGAAGGCGAGGTAGCTTAGTAGATCCTTAACCCTCTAAAGGAATGCGAAGTCTCTATTTAGATACTATACCTTCTATATAGCGATCTAAAGCCCGAGAGCGACCGTATATTAATCGACCTAGGCTACTCTTATATTATCGATAGTACTAAGATTAAGGGCTACGACAACTTAACCGTCGCTAAGGTTACTAAGGCGTACTATAATCTAACCGCCCTTCTAGGTTCTAATACCTTCGTACCGTTCGCCTTCCCTACTACTATCTTAGTCGAAGGCCTTAGTTACATTTCTAATACCCTAGTCGGTAGAATTCCTTAGTTAAGTTACGTTGTTTAGAACGAAGTTAAACAAATCCTCTAGTTTAGTAAGGAGGAGCTTAAGGACTATCTACGCGAGTAGGAGAAGGCTATATAGGACAAGGCTACTAACCTCCTCGTTAATTAAGCTTACTTCGAGGTAGAGTACTTTAGCGCTAATAGCTTTAATACCTATAGAGGAGTTTAGGAGAATCGACTAGCTAATAAGGTTATTACTAGTAAGGATTACGGTACGTTAAAGTAGCAGCAAGTTAGCGTAGTAGATTAGTTGCTTAGGAAGTTGTTTTTGTATATTAATAGAATCTAGGAACAATGCTACCCCGGGGGTATTATTATAGAGTTTCTAAAAAATAGCCTTAGCTAAGATACCCGAGGTGCCCTATATAACTGTTTGTTTAGAGCGCGCAATATAAAGCGTATCTAGTTAGATACGAAGAAAGGGAGGGATATTAGCTAGTAACCGGCCCTATATACCTAGGCTAAGTTTTAAGCCTATATAAGAGGCCTCCTTCTATATTATAGATAGAGTACTAACCTCGTATAGTATATTGTTTATATTACACTTCTATAATGCCTATATTGCAGGGCTCTAGTTATTAGCCTAAGCAACCGTCTTGTTATCCTATTATACTAAATATAGCTGCCTATATTACTATAGGTTATATTACCCTCGGTAGCCTATACTATTACTATAAGTAGTAGTAGTAGTAGTATTAGTTTCCGTCCTTTACTAAGAAGCACTATACCGCGCTTCTTTAGCTTATTAAGTACCTAGTTAGTACTCTAAGCCGTAGCTTATACTTCCGAGGTATATAGAATAAGAACGAGCTTAACTTTGTTAGATACTATAACGCTTCCTAGGCTAATAATCCGATTACTCGTCGCTCTATAGGAGGCTTCTACTTTACTATTACTAGCGGACCTCTATTATATAAGTCCGGCTATTAGACGCTTATTATACTATCGTCTATAGAAGCCGAGTATATTTAGTTAATAACTAGTACGAAGAAGGCTATTATACTAGGTCGGTTATTAGAGGAAATTAGTTATAAGGGCACTATTAAGCCTATTACGCTATACGAGGATAATTAGTTAGTAATCGCTATTACTTAGTTAACGAGTATTAATAGCCGTACTAAGTATATAGATGCTAGGGTCTACTATATCCGCGAGAAGATCGCTAATATTACTATCGTTATTACCTAAATTAGTATATACGACTAGATCGCTAATAGCTTTACTAAGCCGCTTAATAAGCTTAAGTATAGTCGCTTTGTTTAGTAGTTAAACTTAGTAGATTATAAGGCTGCGATTAAGAGCGCCGCTTAGCCTACTACTAAGTACTAAATAGATAGTTTGCTAATAATACCCCGGGGGTAGTATTAGTCCTAGGTCGGCGATATATTATTTGTTTGTTTGTTTAATTAGCCTAAAAGTAGTCTAGTTGTTTCTATACCTAATACCCCTTTGTTTGCCTTAGTAGTTTGCTTGTTTGGCTGTATACACGCGATAAGGGGGTGACTTGGAGAGTGTATGTAGCTGGCTATCACGTGCATAATGCCTGAGGCTACAACTGTGCACACTTCATCTTTGGGCTTTCTGTAGATTAGCCCTCTTCTGAATACAACACAGTTTACATCAAGTGGAGGTGGGTGAGTGGCGTGGTATGGGGGCTCAACTCCATGACTAGCGAGGTCCTGCTGGCTAGCACCTCATCTAGGGTAGGACATGTTGCAGACAGTCGGCTGAAATAGGAGCATCAGTACCACTGGAGAAAGTCGTAGATAGGATGTCACGAAGCCTTCAAGTGCGCCCATGTATAGAACGCGAGACGTCCGAATGACGCATGCTGAGATGAAGAAAGGTACATGTATGAGGGAAGGTGGTACGTGAGGTGGTGGGGTGGTGAGGTGGTGAGGTGGTGAGGTGGAAGGAAGGCGGACGGTGGCGTGGAAGGTTCGGACGCGAGCCTGATTGGAGGCAGGTGTGAATGTGGCCGAGCGGCAAATGCGCGGCTTTGATTGGACAACGACTTCACATCTTCCTGCACGACCTCCACCGACGAGCATGTACGCGCTCTGCTGCAGCTTGCCAATAGTCTCGTTCACAGTGTGCTGCGCGATGCGATGCAGGACACGGCTAGCTACTACCGCACGCCGAGCTGTGAAGCATATACATACCCGCCCTGCCCTCACGCAGCACTCCCTTCCCTTTCTCTTCAGCAAGCGTGTCAATCCAAGAGCTGGGTTTTAGTTTTTATCCTCTTTTCTGTTTTCTTGTCTGTTAATCAGGGCCTGGTGCTCATCGCCACTATACTACTCACTGATAATTGCCCCAACCTCACCGCCGATCCCCAATCCAGAAGAAAAACCAACAAAACTCATCCCCATTAACACTTCCATTCTACGCTAGTCGCCGGCCGACTATCAACCACCAACCACTAATTCTCAGTCTCTTGCTTGCTCAGCACGACTTCCGACAAATCGCAATTCTTTTCTCCCTAATTACGATTCTTGCACGAAGAAACCACATACACACCTCAACGGAATCAATATCATCATGGCCGCTATCCAGCTCAACTTCACTCTCCGCACCTCGGCAAACGTCAAGACCGTCCACTTGCTCGGGTCCTGGGACAACTACAAGGGACAACTCCCACTCTCCAAGGACTCCTCCAAGCAGGGTGGCTGGAAGGGCACTTTCCGCTTCCAGGGCCAGACTCTCAAGCAAGGCCAGCGATACTGGTACTACTACATCATCGATGGCTACCACGTCTCCCACGATCCGGCCCGCGAGTCCGTCACCGAACCCACCACCGGCCGCAAGTTGAACACTCTCGACATTCCCAACGGCAAGGTTGCCGAACAACCCGTATCCTCATCCAAGGCAGCTCGCCAATCCCGCCGCATCTCTTCCAACGGCGTCCCAAAGGGTCGACCCCTCGACAAATCCGAAATCGTCAGCCCAAAGCCATACAAACCACAAGAGACCCGCAAAGTCCGCACCGAGCAGTTCGCGCATCCGACTCTCGAGCAGCTCACCGCCAAATTCGCCCAGCAGCAAATCGAGGAGTCTTCTTCCGAAGAAGAATCCGAGCCCGACAGTGATGCGGAATCTGATGTTCCATCACTCAGCTCTCGTAGCAGCAACAGCTCGACTCCTTCTTCCGTCTCCAGCACCAGCTCTTGCTGCACTTGCGAGCGCTACGGTATCACTCGTGCTGGTGCTCGCGTCAAGTTGGACTGCGGCGGCAACCGTTGCGGCTACTCCGATGGCTCTGACTGCTCCAGTGAGTCCGAGGACGACTACAAGCGAGGCACGACCCGGCGCCACGGCATCGTCATTCGCGGCCACTGAATGATGATGAGACATACGACCTTTCCATGATAATTGATTGAAGGTGTTCCACGAATTTTGGACGCCACTGATGATGATGATTTCCGTTCTTTGTTGTAACACATGTATTTTGGTTTTACGACGGAAGATACCATACCTTACGACCTCCTCCGATTGATTGACACGTGCGCACTTGGGGTCCGCTGGCATTCAGCCGGCCTGCTTGTCAGCTTTTTTCCACGCGCCGTGGATGTTTTTGGGGAGTGCAGTGTGGTTCTTTCGCAGACTACATGTCTTGCGCGCTCTCAGGTAGCGACCTGCGGACACACGACAAATTTCAGCACTTTGCAAGAGATATCTTGCATCGCTAATGCTGAGGATGGGGATGGGGAGGGGATGAGAGGAAAGCCGAAGAGGAGGGTCTTTTCTTTGCGGCATGCCTGCAATACAGATGCTGCAGATGAGGGAGTGAGAGAGGGAGGGAGGGAGGTCATTGGGAATGAAGCATGCAGGAAGGAAGAAAGCAGCGATGCTCGGATCGCTTTGGCTTTCATACATAGACAAGGAAAATTCACCGCATGCTGACCTCCTTCGAACAATTTTGCCCTGCCTTTGATCTTTTCCACGGGCATGCGCGCATTGAGCTGACCTTCCTGTGCCTGGGACCCCGTTTCATTGAACTGAGATGCAGTGCACCTGTGCATTCATTCCCATCGGCCAAGCGCCCAGAGATATCCTAGTTACCTGGTACTAAAGTGGATTCTACATGTAGATCTCTACGAGCGAAGGACTCTCATGAACTGGTACGGCCATTGCAAAAGGCTTCCACCCCAAGTGGTAGGCATGTGGCTCGGCAATACCAAATCCAGTCAATATTCTACCGCTCTCGGCTTTTCGAGGGCCCAGACTTTCAAGATATTGTTCACTTTCACGACGTGTGGTTGGTTGGTGATTATTGTCTACTTCCTCAACATCATCGCTTTTGCCAGGCTTGTTCGTTTTTAAAAAAAAATGCAGAAATTTTTGCGAGATTTTCAATTTTTTTTTTTTTTTGGTGGTTGTTGTTGTTGTTAGAATTCGGAGCTAAGAATTTTTTTCGCATCTTAGTTGTTCCGGAGTGGCGAGGAATTGGGGCTCGGGAGGTGTTTCTGTAGTAGTAATCGACAGGAATACTCTAGGGCGTAAATAATAATAATGAGGGTGTGGCCTAGGTGTTAATTAGGAGCTTATTAGGATTAGAAAGTAGTGTTCTTGCTATATAGTCGTATATGATTACTAATACTAGTCGCCGTAATATACGTAGTCTTCTAGAGAGTTCGATGTCTACTGCTTACTGTCGGTTACGCACCTTAATATAGACTTCATCCCATTCAAGTCATGTGCCACGACTCTGCTTCGTTGCTCAAGGACTTTGCTATGGCTGATGTTCTTCCAAGTCCCAACTTGGAAACCTGCTTGCTGTCTACAGCTCTAAATATAGAGTTCGAAGGGAGCGAGCTGCTAACTTGAAAGGGAAAGCGTTATAGAACTTGGCTGCCTGTTTGAGTCAGCGGGGTTTGTAGACAAGATGGAAGTCTTGTCGTTCGAAGGTAGCGCCTGGTGAAGATACTTGATTGCGAAGCTCTGAAATAAAGTACGTGGCCAATTGCTTCCCGCTAGCAGCTTTTCGCCTTGTAAAGGACGCGATTGGTCGTGTGGCAAAATTGAGAGTAGCTACAGAAAGTTTCGATCCATCCTATGATTGCCAAGGAAAGCTGTCTCCGTGCATGTGCAGGAATTACGAAGCAAGTACCGTACCTGGGTGTGATGAAATAACTGTAGATCGTGTGAAGATGATCAAGGATTAATAAGAATACATGTATTGAAAGATCTGGTGTGCCTGCCCGCGATGACGTCCTCGTTAGCCCGGCTAGAGGTGGGGATCAATCGTAGATTACAAGCATTGCCAATGCCACGCGAAAACGCTCGCAGTCCCAACTCCGATGTAAATGCTAGGAGTTCCGTTATAAGATCAAAGCACAATCGAAATGTCTAGGGTGGTACTCTGCTGTTGGCCTTGTTCTGTAGCTTCCGTGTTGTCACGGGATCGTTGCTGTGTGCATGGTTTATGCAAGCTGCCGCGTAGCTTAAGCTTCGTTCTGCACCGCCGATCCGGAAGAGCTTCATCCTTGATCTTCTACTCCCGCCATTCCTTCGTGCCCTCGAGACAGGTTGACAGGTTCCGTGAGGGCGTCCGGCATCTGTCACTGCCGAATGCTTCTCCCAGAAACGCGAGCAATGGATGTTGTGTCCAGATTTGTCGAATATGGGTGTGGGATCACATGAGAGAGATTCTCTTGGATCGCAGGAGTGCCTTGCGATGGCGATAAGCACCTTGCTGTTCGTGTGGACGGGGCTGTGTAGCATGCTAGGTGTCCGCTGATACTGTCGACAACGGGAATGTCACGGTATATAAGAGCTCCAGCCGCCACTTGCATAGCCCGAATCAGACAATTGGTGTCTCCGTTTGTCGGGCTGTGACCGATATTTAGAATGTTGTTCGCAAGCGTAGCCGACTAGGACGGTTTTCTCCTGGACACAGTGCCCTCGTTGCGCCCTCGCGGCGCAGGGGTCGACAGCGTGTTTGTAGTATAAGCATCGACACACCGAGTATCGTTCCACCACCTGTAGACACATGGCCTCGAATGTTCCGACTGAGGGCTCCAGTAGGACAAGCAGACGTCCAGGCGGATAACGCTGATCAACGCAGCATAGAAGTAGAATGAGTAGGCGAAGCAAGATATGTGCGGTGGAGGCAGGAGTCGGCGGTGTCAAGTGTAAGAGCGTCAGTGGCAGCTTGGGCTAAGCCATCTTATAAACGTTCTCGGACGTCGAGTGCAGGACTGCGGGATAAGTAATAGGGTCAGTCAGAAGGCTGCCATGCACATCATCATCCGTAGACAGCATTCCGCATGGCAGCCGATGACCCTTCCGTCATGCTATAGGCCAGTGAGGGTAGTCTTGGGTGCAGTAGTGAGGCTCCGCTCGCGGGCACGTCCGAGCTGGCATCAAGGCCAGATGTAGTCTCAGAGACTAGGCCAGATGGAGTCGAGACGGAGACTGCGGTCTGCTTGTGCTAGTCCTCTGGAGGCCGAGGCCGATCCAGCGCAGCCGTGATGACTCCGCCGGCTTGTGATCAGGGATAGGACAGGACTAACGGTGCTGGTCGTGAGAGGGTCGTCAGCGGTCCGAGTAGCATGCGCATGCCTTCCCACTTTTGCCAGACTGCATCTGAGGTTCGCGGGAGCCTTGCCACGCTAGAAGTCACTAGCGATGCTGCTCCGCGCTGGTGGGCAGACATACTGCTGGAGACGGCGAATAGTGGGAAGGTGCAATGCATGGGAGTGCGGCCGGGGATCAGGGAAGCGGAACCTTTACCTTTACATCCCTGCTCCCACGTTGTTGCTGCTCCCTGCTCTTGCTCACCAAGTGACGAAGCAGACTTCTTCGCTTCACTGCAGCCGTCAGCAATCGACGAGGCTCGGGGCGGATGCAGGTCCAAACAACAACTCGGACGACGCGGCCTCACCGCCCACGAGGTGTATGGCGTTCTTTCTCGCTTGTCTGCCGCTCCACGCAGCGGCTTCAAATACAAGCAGACACCATTTTCTCACGGCTGGCGGCACGCAGGCGGTGGACGTGTTGCTGCTACGAGGTTACCGTACATCACGCTCACACAATCAAGATCAGTTGTCCCGAGTATCCTGGACAGGAAGACCATCGCCGATCAGCCATCCAAGTCCTCATCACCATTCGCAGCATCTGCCCTATTTTCAGCGGGAAGCTACGCGTGGGGGCCAAATAGCGTCTTGTCCAACGCCCGTCGTGCAGCAAGGCGCAAGCCAAGCCACCTTCAAAAGGATGCCAAATGCTTGTCCAAAGCATCGTTCGGACGGCAAAAACGAATGCAAGCGGCCTTGCGGCTTACGCTCCCGCGGTGAACGTATAGATGGACTACGGCCACTCACAGTGCCTATAGACATTTTCCTCCCTTTGAACCTGAAGCCTCACACGTGGCCTTCGTGCCGTGCTTCCTTCGTCTCACCGCAGATTTCCTGGACGGAGAGGTGACTGGATCGACGCAACCCTGTACATGTAACGGTGGCTCCTTCGTCCTGCAGGATGGACGCGGCATTTGACTTCACACCGGTGGTCTGGCACTGGGATTTCGAGGCTGTTGCTGGACATGATTAATTTGACAGCACTTGGTAATCAGGCAACAGCCTCGTGAGGCGAACGATCCTCGCAGGTAGTGCCGAGCGAGCCGAGGCTGGATTTACTGCCACCACCGATACTATGCTGCATGTGAAATCAAAGCTACCTGGCCGGCTCTAGCTCATCGCCGAAGGAATCTGATGTAGGTGAAGTTTGAGGCGCAGACGGCAGGTACGTACGCACTGCTCCAAATTCATTCAAAACTATCCAAATCTGCACATGTATCTCGCGATGCTCCGAGTATCCGCGAACACGATTCCCTGATGCGCCGGAACGCCAATCACGCTGTTGCTCTACGAGCTTCCGTTCACCTTGGCTTCTTCTTGTGTCTGCTGATGAAGAGGCAAGGATTTTTGTGGGGCCGGGTTGAGGATGCCCGCTGCGTCAATGAGTGGCGCAGATGGGTTCAACTCCAGACCAAATCCGGGCTTGTCCAGAATTGCAACATCAAGGTAACCTTGCGTCGGAATCGGCTCATTCGTGAACAAGTTTCCAAACACCGGCAGGACGCTCTTGCCATCAGGCGAATTGGCCAGATATTCTTGGAATGGACTGTGGGCCTGAGATACGACGAAGTGGTACGAGTATGGCCCACTCGCATGAGGCACGACAGGAATATCGTAAGCTGCGGCCATCGCGGATACCTTCAGAAGCTCCGTCAGTCCGCCGACCCACATTACATCTGGCTGGAGGATGTCGAGGTTGCGACCCTCGATGAGCTTTCTGAAGCCATATCTCGAGTATTCGTGCTCGCCCGTGGTGAACTTGATCGTAGGATGGGCGCGTTTGAGCAGTGCCTGGCCATCGAAATCGTCAGGCGAAAGACATTCCTCCCACCAATCGATATTCAAATCTTTGCACTTCTCGACCAGTTCGATTGTGTATGGGACATTGAGACTCATGTAGCAGTCAACTCTCAGTGGAAAGTCTGGACCAACTTCTGATCTCTTTTGTCGCAGGTACTCGATATTCTTCCTCATGCCCTCAGGGCCCTCACCTGGGCTATATGGAAGCGCGACCTTGGCTCCTGTGAATCCTGCCTCTTTCGCTGATGCTGGCTCCGGGCCAGTACAGTAGAAGTGTAGTCTTTCTCGGGTTGCTCCGCCGATGAGCTTGTACACTGGCTCATTTCGTATCTTGCCTTGAAGATCCCACAGGGCAAGGTCAATAACGGATATGACGGCTACCGGGAGACCTTTCCGACCATAAAACATAGACGCTCGGTACATCTGCTCAAACAGATGGTTTGTGTCTCTCGGATCTAGTCCGCTCAGCAAAAGTATCGAATCAATGCCTCAAAACGGCAATACACACCTGCTCCAATCAAGAACCTCCGGAAGTGCTCGGCTGCAAGCCAGCATGCTGGAGGGCCACCGAAACCAGTTGCGAAGCCCTTGGTGCCATCTGTAGCCTCAATCTCTACGCAGAAGGAGCCAAGAACATTGATTCCCCAACTCGTTCTCGATTTTCTGTATGCTTCGTAACCTGACATCGGCGTCGATATCTTTGAGTCAATCAACCAATGTCCGCCTTTGACATTGTGGTAGTCGCCGCCAGAGCCCACTCCTTGTATGATGTACGTTTTGATCTCTTTGATTTTGGGGAATGATACGACGCTGCTCCTGCTTGCCGCCATGGCTGCGCTCGGGATTGGGGGAAGGAATTCTGGGAGTGGATTACTTCGACGAGCTCGATATCGGCGGTTGTAAACGTGCGAGGAACGGGTCAGTCACAGGTAGGTGGACAGTGTGAAGGCGAGGAAGAAACAGGTCAAGTTCGCTATGGGAGACTCGGGTGCCCTTACGCTGTATATCTCCCACGCACTGAGTGGCACCAGTGGATAGTGGATAGTGGATCTTGCGCCAGAGCATAATGCGCAGGCAGGAAAACAATGCCGACTCGCGAGAGAAATAGCCTTAGCCGGCACTCACTGATGTCGGCCTGGATGCTGTTGGATTCGCTGATGAGCTCGCGCTCTCGCGGTGCGGGGAAAAAACCACCGCGATTTCGGTCGCTCTTCCCCGACTTCTTCTCTCTCGTTACAATGACCTCCGAATGAGCTCTACGCCACGGAATCTCGTCTCGCCCAAAGACGGCGCTGCCGGGAACGGTAGCTCGCCGAGAAATGGCACCGAGCATAAGGAAGAGGAGGAGGGGTGGAGTGGTGAGGAGGAGGAAGAGGATGTCGGCGGCGAGGGCGAGGGCGAGGGCGATGGCTCCAGGAAGCGAAAGCGTCCAATGAGCGTGTCGTGTGAGTTGTGCAAGCAGCGAAAGGCATGTAATACGCGCGTTTCCCACGTGGCGTCGGGTGAGCACCGCGGTATTGACGATGAGATCAGGTCAAATGCGATAGAGGTCAGCCTTCGTGCGGTTGGTGTGTCCGCAATGCCCAGGTCTGCGAGTACAAGGAGCGAAAGAAACCTGGCCTTCGTGCCGGCTATGGAAGAGAGCTTGAAGCAAGACTTGGTGAGCGGGACTCCCATCTTTCCCCATTGCGACGTCTCAGAAGCATCCATCACCGCAGTCATGTCGACCGCAGTCGCGCGGAGCATGCGGCCGCGTCCACGGGCATGACCATATGGGGACTTGCAGCCAGTATAGAGTTTCAGAAAATAGGACATTGCTGACTCTTAAAAGATAAGCTGGAGGGCGTGTTGAATACACAGCAACAGGTCTTGCAGCAGCTGGCTGCTCACTTGCCACCCGTCCAACCTCATGTGTCGCCGGCTTCACAGCACTCGCAACATGGACAGCGTTCCCAAACCGCCCTTTTCATGCAAACTCCTGACATGTATCCAACCGCTGCAGCAATTCAGTACAATCGTTTGCACTCTAACCAAGGCAACGACGCAGATCAGAGCAGCCAAATGCAGCATCATGCGCAACAGCACTCTATTCACTTATCACAGACAAGTCCAAACGAGTATGCGACTAGCAACCCGCCCCTTGAGTCTCCCAGTCTGAACATCTCTGCTGCTCAGGACGGTGCTATGAAGGCAGTATCACAGGATCAGGACTTCCCTCCTTATGATTTGCTTTATGCCTTGACAGATCTCTTCTTCAAGCATATTAACACGTGGTGCCCAATTCTCCATCGACGGAGCACGCTTGACTCGTTGTTTGGCCCTAATGCTCTGGAGGAGGCAGATCGAATCCTTCTTCACTCCATCGTGGCCACAACTCTACGCTTCTCAACAGACCCCAGATTGAGTGACCAAGCTCGGCAAAGGTATCATACTACTTCGAAGCAAAAGGTTCTTCTCTATGGTCTGGAAAACAGTTCTGTGAAGGCACTTCAGGCACTGGTCATACTGGCTCTTGACACGGTAGGAAGCTCGAATGGCCCGCCCGGATGGAATTTGCTTGCTTTGATCACCAGAAGCGTGGTGCAGCTAGGCCTTGCTGTAGAGACTACTTCAGCATCCATAGCACCTCTCTTTCCCTCGATCTATACGCTTCGCGCCATGGTGCTTCCGGAGCCGAAATCTTTCATTGAGGACGAAAGCCGGCGTCGCTTGTTCTGGATGGTCTATCTTCTTGACCGCTATGCGACCATCGCTACTGCATTTGAGTTTGCTCTGGACGACAAGGAGATCGACAGGAAGCTGCCTTGTAGAGATGATCTCTTCGCCCGCAATCAGCCAGTCGATACCCGCTGGTTTCAGACGCTTGAAGGAGAACAACATCATCTCGGCGAGATGAATCATCCTGAGAACCTTGGCTCTTTCAGCTACTACATCGAGATTGTTGGCATCATGTCGCAAATCCATCGATTTCTGAAGAAGCCCGTCGACATCTCTGCATTATCAGATGTGGAACAATGGCAGAAGGAGTACCGACAACTCGATAGCAAGCTTAACCAGTGGAAGTTCAGCCTTCCGGGCGAGTATGGCAACATGTCTCGGCTCTTCAATCCCAACGGCGGGAACAAAATCGTGAACTGCATCTGGATCATGCTACATATCACCTACCATACGTAAGTCCTGCATCACTTCTTGCATGTACCATTTGAGCCCTGTGGCAGCCAATCCAGGCCATGCACGCGTTGACCGGTTTGACTCGCTAACGTAAGCGCTTCCTCAGGACTGTCATCCGACTGCACTCCTCAGCCGCATATCCCACAACTAGGTCGCCGATATTCACTCCGTCCTTCAGCGCAAGTCAACGATGTCACACTGCAGTCGAAGACATCTGCGCCTTGTGCACGTACGTCCGTGGTAACAACATGCTCACAAAGCTCGGACCTCCTTTCGCTTTCAGCCTCTGGGTCGCCGCCAGACTCTTGCTCGTCCATGGCTCCACCATCGACCACCACGTCAATCCTGCCATTAACCCTCTCGTCGAAACTCTCCGAGAAATAGGCTACTACTGGAAGGTGGCGGAGCGCTATGCAACTCTCCTGCAAAGAGTCATGGACGAATACAGCGAATCCGAACGCGCACCCGTCCCTGCCTCCGGCGTGCGCGAAACTCCCTCCACCGTCCGAATCCTCGCAGACATGCGCCGCTGCGCTTACGACTTGGACTTTCTGATCTCAAGACAGCCTAGACAGTATTTTGGCGGTAAGCAAGGCGGCATCAATTCTTCGATTACTCCCGCGAGAACCCCGGCTCCCAATGAGTTGGAATATCTTGACGTTTTTGATTTTTTTAATATGCCCAGATTGCCGTATGGTGGTCCCGGTGCGGGTGCGGGTGCCGCTGATGCCGCTGCGATTTCGATGGGTAATGGGGAGGCTGGGAATGGGAATGCTGCTGTTGCTGCGCAACCTGAGTATCAGAATTTTATGGATTATCAAACTTTGGATGGGGGGAATAATGGGAGTGATTGGCTTGTTCAATGACGTATGTAATGGGAAGTTGAGATGTTTCTCGGGGGTTTCTGGTTGTTGTGAGCGAAGCAACAGCTTGCTTGCTTCGATAAGTAGTTAGCAGTGAGTGTGAGTGTATACAATTCTCAAGTCTGATCGGGATTCAGACGTCTATTGGCTTGAGCTTAGGCGAAAAGAAAACCCGCTTAAGTTGGTAGGTCACGCATCGAGGCCACATTTTCTTTTTTTTGGCCTAGGCATGGCATTGCATGGCTCTCAATCGTAGGTAGCCAAGCACTTGTTTTAGTATGTGACTGTGACTTACAGACTGATTTTACCGCTACGCATTGAATGTCTGTCGACAGAACCTGGGTATCTGTTGGTACGTATCGTCCATGGCGGTCACGTTGAACACGGCCTCGTCTCTTGACTTGTTTTTTCAACCACTTTCGTGGGTCGCGCGAGTTGTGGGTTAGTCCTGTCAACTTCAACTCTTTCGTGATGATTGATCATGAAAGTCTGAGACTCATGAGTGTGCTTGGCCGTGGCATGCCAGCTTTGTTTTCGGCTGGATGGTATTTTGGGCCTGATTCGGGGTTGTCGCTAATTAATCATTTCCGTTCCGCTTCGCTAATCCATATCATACTTCGTCGTAGTAAGAAGCAGTACGCCAGAAGCAAACTCTAGGTTGTTGGAGTGAGCCCCCCGATCTGACTCGGACTCGCGTGATATCCTCAAAACTTCTGTTTTTTTCTACTTCTTCTTCGGCCCCAACATCGGCTGTCCAATATCCTTACCCGTCAGCCTAACATTGGCCGCCTTCTGAATCTTCAGCACAGCATCCATAGCCGGGAAATCTGCTCCCGTGCGCTCTAGAGCAGCAACGACCGCGACGTCGACGTTGGCTTTCGATGCAAGATCTTTCTGTGTCATGGTGTTGCCTTTCTGGTTCTTGAGCTGCGTGCGGGCCTGTGAGAGGGCTTTGGCGACTTCGTCGGGGACTTTTTTGGTCGCGACGGGGCCGTCGGCGCGGTCGACTTTGGTGAGTCGTTGGCCTTCTGGGTTGCCCGCGGCCTGCAGGATGGATTAGTTTGGTGGGTGAGGGGTGTTTGATTCGGGAGGTGGGCTTACGTTTGCCGATGAGAACTTCTTGTCGGTGCTGAGGACGGCTCCGCTACGTTGAGCGGCGTTCAAGGCGGACTTGCCCTTGATTGTTGTTTCGCGCTGGGCAGTGCCTGGGCCGCGGACCTTGGATCCGATGCGAGTGACGCTGTCCCACTCCTGATCTCCCATTTTGTCGGCTGGGTGGTTGGTTTTGGTGGGGTGGGGTGGGGTGAGTGTTTGTTGGAGTGGCTGCGTTTGGATTGTTGGAATGAGTATGCGTGGAGTGTTGATGTTGGTGGTAAGAAGAAGTCGCGTGCTGAAATATGGGCTTGGAGTTGTATGGCGGAAGGCAAAAGTTAATGAGTCTTGCTGAGGCTATGGACGGTGTCGGAGAACGTCACCGTCGTGCGTAGAATTGGTCTGTGCAGCACCTTAAGTAATCACCTTCACACACCCGACTCGTTCACATGTGTCTGGCATGTGAAAGATGGTAAATAGTCGCAAGATGCCAGACTGCTAGCTTTGACAAGTCTACTCCATTCGGAAACTGTTTTCGGCCTTGTCTTCTGCAAGCACTCAGACACAAGCGAACCTCCGATGGCACGAAGCAGCAGCACGCGATCGGCCAAGCCAAGCCTGAGTTCTAGTTCTACAGGGCTGGCCATGCAGCTGTTCCGGCATGCAGCTTGGCGGATATTTTTGTTAAGGTTGAGCCAGTGCCACCGTACCAGCAGAACTTGGTTCACTTCATCAAACATGTGAAGAAAGCGCGTTTGCGGAGAAGATTGCTCCTTCTTGTACAGAGCACAGCTTTGTTCGTTTCTGCATACACCGTCTCTTCGCTCCGTTCCAGGCTAGCATCGGCATTGTTTCCATCACTCGGCAACATATGACGTCCTGATCACGCAGCTGTCAAGCGCTGCGCTGCGCTGACCTCTCCGGCCGGTGACCTGCGACTAATGCCACCGTAGCGAGCGAGCGCGAACGACAACTCCGAAGTTCGTTCAGTCGCTCGCTCGTCCAGCATACAATCCGAGTCGCACCCGCACCCGCACCCGCACTCGCACTCGCACCACCCTCGCTGGCGACCATTGTGAAGCCTGCGCTAATTAAAGCATCACCAACGAAGCTTCTCGCCGGCCCATTCACCTCCGAACCCGATCCCTCCCTTTCACATGAACGAGGTCGACCGTACATCATTCTAGAGAAGCAGTGGCAACATCATTGAGCTGAGCACTCGGAGCGATGCAGTACGCTCGCTCCATAACAGGCACCGTTTCGAAAGCATGGAACAGTCTGAACCCAGCCACATTGTCTGGAGCCATCGACGTTATTGTCGTTGAACAGGAGGATGGCTCTCTCGCATGTTCTCCATTTCACATCCGATTCGGGAAGTTCTCCCTCCTGCGCCCTTCCGAGAAGAAGGTCGAGTTCAAAGTCAACGGCGAGAAGCTGAACTTCCCCATGAAATTGGGCGAGGGCGGAGAGGCTTTCTTCATCACCGAAACACACGAGAGCGTCCCGGAAGCACTACAGACGAGTCCGCTTGTTAGTCCCGCGAGCAGTCCAGAGCTCAAGGCGAGTGCTTCTGAAACTCCCGTCTTGCAAGAGCCAGATCCCTTCGACTTGGAAAAGGAGCTGCCCGTGCGAGATGGCGCGAAAAGAGGGCACAGTAGGAGTACGACCGAGGGAATGCCAGTCCCTGGTCTGCAGAGAAGACCGCCGAGTGATTTGGGAAACCTGACGCCGCTATCTACATCTCCCACCGAACCTCAATTTCTCAAAGACCGACCGCGACCTGCTTCAGGAGACTTTTCAGCATTCGTGCATCCAACCTTTGAACGGACGTCGTCGGACAGCGCTGTACCAGCTGCGAAAGCTTCTATCCATGAATCCATGCACCATAGTGAGCTGCTGATGACTCCTGGCTCCGAACGCTCGCCTTCACCTCCGCCTACCACAGACCGGCCCGTGAGCCCCACGCCAGAGGAAGAGGATGCAAAAGCTAGGGCATTGAATCTCTCCAAGAGACTATGGACTTCCAATATTAGCAACCAGGTGACCGAGACTGGTGATATCATGCTTGACATGGGTGCCTTCAAGAGCGGGAATAAAGAGGCTTTGCAGGCCGAGATAGTCGCCAGACAGATCCTGTCGCAAGAGCTCGATGGCCCTTACGATATTGGTGCGCTCATGGGTGCTGATGAGAAAGGCAATATTTGGATCTACAGAAGCGAGGAAGCGAAAGATGCTGCCAATAAGCGAGCCGCCGCCGGAATGGGTATTTTCAATCCGGCTGCCTATGCTTCCACAGATGCCATTTCGGATCCTGGATACCACAGCGACGATGCTCGAAGTGTGGACTCAAAGCCTGGAGATTATGCGCACAATCGTCGTGATTCGGATAGCGCCGTAGGTCTACCCTCCCAGCCTAGCTCACCAGGCAGAGTTGCTGGAGACCCGAATAAGAACTACGCGAAATCCATCCGCTTGACCTCGGATCAACTAAAGACTATGAACTTGAATGCTGGGGCGAATAGTATGTCCTTCACTGTGAACCGCGCGACGTGTACTGCCGTATTGTGGTACTGGAAGCATGACGTGCCGATAGTCATATCTGACATCGATGGCACAATCACGAAGTCAGACGTCTTGGGCCATGTTTTGAATACGATCGGCCGCGACTGGACACACCAGGGAGTGGCCAAGCTCTACACAGAGATTGCATCAAATGGGTACAACTTTCTATACCTGACCAGTCGAAGCGTCGGACAAGCAGATACTACCAGAGCTTATCTGGCCGGTGTGGCTCAGGAAGGATACAAATTGCCTAGGGGGCCTGTTATCCTCAGTCCTGATAGAACCATTGCGGCTCTGCGACGAGAGGTCTACCTCAGAAAACCCGAGATCTTCAAAATGGCATGCTTGCGCGATATCATGTCCCTCTTCGCGGGTCATGGCGGTGCTCAAAATACCACTGAGAATGCAATTGAGGCGGGCTTGAAACCACTTAGCGGTGTGGATATGCCAGGCGGGTTGGGCTCTGGTCGAGGCAAATCAGGTTCCCCATTTTACGCTGGGTTTGGTAATCGTCTGACAGATGCACTCAGCTATCGCTCAGTGAACATTCCCAGCACTCGAATCTTCACGATCAACTCAAATTCGGAAGTGAGCTTGGATCTTCTAAGCCTCAATACTTACAAGACGGCTTATAGCAGCATGCGAGAAATTGTCGACCACTACTTTCCGCCTGTCGGTTTACTAGTCAAGGGTGGAGGCGAAGAGTTCACGGACTTCAATTACTGGCGCGACCGGCCGATGGACATCATTGACTTTACTGACAGCGAGGATGAGGATGACGATCCTACCGAAGACGCCGTCTCACGCCTGACCAAGACCAACACTCGAGGGAGTCGAAGCATCCTCAGCGAAGACGAAGCAGGCGACGACATGGCAGAGTCATATTTCTCAGGAGATGGACGTCCGTCACTCGACCAGTCAATCGCAGAATCTTTGGTCGATGACGAAGAATTGACAAGCTCCATGATCGACGATGAAGATGAAGACTACGATGAAGCAAGTGGCTCTGAAGCCGAGGAGGAAGAATACCACCTCGAAGACTCCCGTGGTGCAGCTCATTCTCCTTCTGCACCTAGAACCCCAGAACTCAACACCGACTTCAGTCGACAAGTAGAAGAAGCAGAAGTCCAAACACCACGGCAAGGCGCGAGAGACCGAGTTGTTGATCGAGCTACGGGTTTAGGCTTGACGACTTTAGATGAGAGCAATGCGAAGAAGCGATAGTGTTTTTTGTGTGTATTAAAACGGAGTCAAGGTGGGTGCATTGCGATGCATGACGCATGCATGGAACAAGGCGTTTTGTGAACAGTGTGGCATTTTCGAAGTTCGGAGGGGAGGAGCACCATCATCCATAGAGCTATAAACGAGGAGCCAGGCTCGGCGTGAACGTGCATGTGTGGTTGCGCAAGCTGTCGGTTTAGAGGGAAATCATTCGTGTAGAAATGAAATGAATGTACACTGATGGCAGGACGTTTCGATGGATTGACTTTTTTTTCTTGGCTCTGCTCGTTTCGATGAGATGGCCTTGGTTGTTATAGGTTTTTAGCGTACCATTCCTTTGGGTTTCTGCGGGACTGTCTCACCATTCCGGCTAAGGAATGTCCCGATTTTCAGGCGTAAGATAGGACCTACCAAACTTACGGAAATGCTCGGTTTTCGTGTGTTGGCTCGGCTTACCTAATTAGGCTGTTATGGCTTCTGAGGTATTGTCGCTATCGCTGCTATTGCCTATCTAATTCTTCCTCTTATTCGGCCTCTTAATAGTAGGTAGCATTGTCGCTACTAATCTCTTACGCTTATTACTATTGTATTTATTAGAAGTCCGCCTCTTGCCTACTGCTTCTCGCATCGCGTTATCGTTGTCTAACTAAGGGAAGTCTTCTACTACTTCTAGGTCTTATTTTAATAGCGAAGCCTCTCTTACTAGCGCCGCTAGTAAAGTAAGGTCTATAAGCTTAGCTGTTTCTTTAATAGTGTCCAAATCGAGCGGCTAAGCCGACTGTATAGACAAAAGCGACTCGCGCGGCTACTGCGGTAGCGGTAGCGGTAGCGGTAGCCGCGCCTTCGAAGGTAAAGGCCTAAAGGGTAGTAGACTTAGCGTAAGAAGGTCGATAACTTATAACGGTCGACGTATTAGTAATAAGAGGGTCTTATTAAGCAGCGGAAGATTAAACGCTCGAGGTCTATATTTAGTCGCTAGCGCTAGCGCTAGCGCTAGCGCTAGTAGTAGTAGTAGTAGTAGCGGAAGGGTTAGATAGCGAGGTTAAGTTAGAGTTGTAGGCTTAGCTAGAAGTATAGAAGTCTACTACCGTTGTCGCTTACTAGTAAAGGCAACCGCTAGTTACTCTTCCTATATAAAGTCGTCTAGTAAGTACGTAGAGAGCGAATATATAGTGTCTTTAACCTTCCGTAAGAAGGCTCTTATATAGTTATCTTTAAGCGTACTATTATAGATCGTCTTATTGTTACGGACCGCATAGAAGTGCTATAAGAGGCCTTTAATACCTTCGTTAAAGTAAGCGCGTAGGTTACGAAGATAGGGGTTACTAGCAATAAAGGGCTTCTTATCCTTATAACCTTCGATAAATAGGGTAGTGCTGTCTCTCTACCGCTAATAATCGGCTATCTTCTACGAGTTATAGCCGCTATAGAAGCTAATATAGAGTTGTTGTTGTTATAGGCTTAGAGGTATTATAAATAGGTAATGCCGTAGTATATAGTAGCAAGGCAGGTGCTGCTAAAACTATAGCAGGCAATTACAGTAAGGAGGTTAGTGTCTATCGCGGTATAGTACAAGGCCCTCGTATATAGGCCTTGCCTTAGCTTCTAACTCTTCTATAATATTTAATTGCTTCTATACGAAGTCCTATACCGCCGGAGGTTGTAAATTCTCGAAATAGGGCATATTCTTAACCTTCTAGAATTGAGTGCGTTTACTAAGCCTGTATAGCTAAAGATTAGCCTTATATAGTTGCCGAGCGTCTATCTTTAGCAACTCGACAATAGTGCTATATATCGAGTACTAAACGAGGTTCTTCTTATTATCGTACTTAATAGCATTATAGTACCCCTCTAGCGGCGATATAGTGCGAATTTGTATAAGAATTGGGTTATTTAAACGAGCCTAAGTTGCCTATAAATATAACTTCTTAGCACTCTAGTTCTTTAGTAAATACTAGACTTCCGTCTCGTTAGCGCCCTTTAGCCGAAGCTTAGTAGCTATTGTAGTAATATTAAGAGCTAATTCTTGCTTGCTACGGGCATAGTGTATAGCGTATCTAAACAGTCTATAAACCTCCGGAAATCGACGTTTAGGGAAATAGCGAAGGAAGGTCTCTTTAGCGTATCGCTAGTATAGATATATAGTAATCTCTTCGTCTTAATTTTAGAAGGAGAGGCGGATTAAGCGCTATTCTTACGTAGAGTCGTTAGTTATAGCTAGCTTAGGCTTCCGTTTTAGATACTACTGCTTTCAAGTTAGGACTCGGAAAGCTTCTTACTATAGCTTCGAGCGCTATGTTTATAGCAATATATACGCTATCGGTATCTAACTTTTAAATTCGTTTCTAATATATATAGTAAACAAGTTCTACTGCGTATTAGTTGTCTTATACGTTGCGTCGTAGAGAAATATCTAGTTAAAGATTAGTCGATTACTTCTCGAAGCCTACCTATAGCTTGTTACGTAAGCACTTATATCTCTACTAATTCTACTATTCAACAGCTCTCGTTACTAACTCGCCTACTAAACAATCCCCTTCTAAAGCCTTCCTTTAATAATATACGACACTGCTTTATAAGATAGGTAAGCGCTATTTACTAGATTAGTTAATAGCGCTAGGTGCTTATATAGGTTATCTATTTGCAACGAGACATTGCCCTTCTTAGCGAGGGTAGCCTTCTTCTTATTCTTCTTCTTTAACTAATTAATTGCACCTTCCTTTGTACGATAAGCACTAATAATAGCAAGACGATAAGCATTAGGTCCTTCTTTTACTATATAGAATACCTTAGCTATATCCTGCTTATACTGTTCTATTAGGTACTCTAGTACGATCTTCAGACCGTTACTCGCTCCTCGTATGTCCTATAACCGTTAGCTTATCGCATCGACTCGAGATACAACCCTACTAAACTTACTATATAATCTATCGAGTAGTAATAAAGCTTTTCTTCTATAGAGGGATTAGGTAACGACGTAGCGACTTTGTACCTATATAGTTAAGGATCGTTCTTATAGCGATACATAGCAATTACTATATAGGAGGCATTATACGGCGCCTTATAATACTCGACCTTTCGTAACCCTTTAGGCACCTCGCGCTGCCGCTAAGCGTTACGACGACAACGATAATAGCATATTGTCCGCTACGCGAGTCTATTAACGTAGCGCTTCTATATAAAAGTATACTAGAAGTTAGAGGCAAATAGCTATACCTTGTCGTACGTTTCTAGGTCTAAGAACAGCCCTTCTTTAGGTAGATTAAAGAGCTAAGAGCGATAGGCAAAATCGAAGAAGTCGGGGATTAAATAAGCTATTATAGTAATAGTTAGAAGAGCGTGGAAATAATAGTTAGAAGAGCGTAGAAATTAGCCTACCTACTTGCCTTTAAATAACACCTTATATATGCCTATATAGCTGAATTTTTATCGATATACTACGATATAAAGTAGCCGACTAAGTGATCGACGGCATACCCGATTCAGCTAGTAAAAGTGGCTATATCTCGATCCGATAATCGACTAAATCACGACCGAGTATATCCGTACGACCTACTAAAACCCACTCGATCGACACCAACCCTGCCGCACTAAATTCCTATAACAAACAAGACAAACTGTTTCGATGTCTGTGACCTGATACGACGAAAGACAATGAAGGCATTTATTGAGGAATTTTTTCGGGGCGGTTTTGAGGAATTCCTATATAGCCTTCAGACAACTGGGAACATATCACAGAGCATAGATGGATGAATAGATGGACTTCTGCGTGTGAAGGTCTGCAGTCATTCTGCTGTTGTCTTTCTTTCATATTTTGCATCGATTATCTAAATCAGGGTTTCCCTTCCAACCACCAACGCCTCGCTATAAATCACGTTGAGTGACAAATTGACCCGTTTCCTTTCCGTCGTTTTCGATAACTTTCAGTAATGGTGGTCGCGAGAGACACGTCGCGCCTAATGCATTGCCGGTGTGGTGAAACAGCTTGGCATGGTATCATCTTACAAAACAAAAAAAAAACAAGTTCAAACGAATTAGCAAGTGTTACGTCGTTTCAAAAGCAAGATGGCTCGGCTTAGAAGAGACCGTCAATCTCGCCAGTCTCGCCATCGAGGTCGACGTTGAGGTAGCCTGGTGCGGTGGGTAGACCAGGAATAGTCTGAATGTCGGCCGCAAGAGCGTAGAGGTAGCCAGCACCAGCTGCCATGCGCACGTCGCGGACAGGAACCTCGAAGCCAGTTGGTGCACCCTTCAGTGCTGGATCGTGGGATATGGAGTACTGTGTCTTGGCAATGCAAATGGGGAGGTTGCCGTAACCCTGCTTGGTGTAGGTGTCGAGCTTCTTCTGTGCAAGCTCAGAGAAGGATACTTTCGAGGCGCCATACATGTCCTTGGCGATAGTCTCAATGCGTGTTTGGATGTCGCCGTCAGTATTGTATAGGAGATGGAAATCTTCCGGCTTGGCCTTCTCGGCAGCCTTGATGATTCCCTGTGCGAGGTCAACGGCACCCTTGCCACCCTCGGCCCAGTGGTTGGCGACAATAGCGTCCTCGGCACCGGCCTTGATGGCTTCCTCCCTGATGACTTGGTGCTCAGCGTCGGTGTCAGTCTCAAATTTGTTGATGGCAACGACAACGTTGACACCGTAAGCCTTGGCATTGGCGATATGCTTAGCAAGGTTGACACAGCCTGCCCGAAGAATATCGACGTTCTCAGTGCGATAGACCTCGTCAAGCTGTGCACCTGGCTTGATCTCTGGACCGCCGCCGTGGACCTTCAAGGCGCGGACGGTGGCAACGATGACAACAACATCCGGCACAAGTCCAGAGGCGCGGCACTTGATGTTCATGAAGCGCTCGCCACCCATGGTGAAGTCGAATCCGGCCTCAGTGACAACGAAGCCAACCTTGCCGTTCCGGTCGGCATCCTCGTCAGGCTCGGTACCAGCCAGCTTGAGGGCGACACGGTCGGCGATGATAGAGCTGTTACCGATAGAGATGTTGGCAAATGGACCAGCATGAACGAAGACTGGAGTTCCCTCCAAAGTCTGCATCATGTTTGGCTTCACGGCATCCTTCATCAATACAGCAAGAGCGCCGCCAACGCCGATATCGTCAGCAGTAACTGGATCACCGGCCTTTGAAGAAGCAACAACCATGCGTCCAAGACGATCCCTCATGTCGGCAAGGTCAGTCGAGAGAGCAAGAACTGCCATACACTCAGATGCGACGGAGATGTCAAAACCGGTCTGACGTGGCTCGACCTTGCTTTCTGTCGGTGCCTGACCGATAGTTATGCCACGAAGGTGACGGTCGTTGACATCGAGCACACGGCGCCATGTGATAGTCTCTGGGTCGATGTCGAGACGTGCGAACTTGGTGATCTCTTCTGGTGTCAGGTCGTCAGGGTTGGTCTTGTCAATTCCAAGCTTCTTGAGGCGCTTGAACATGACCTTCGCAAATTCACGGCCACCCTTCTTCTTGGGCACAAGACGGCTGTACAAAGCGGCGTCCTTTTGTGTGGCCTCGTGGAACATTCTCGTGTCAATTGCTGCAGCGAGCAAGTTGTTCGCTGCTGTAATGGCGTGAATGTCGCCAGTCAAGTGCAAGTTGAATTCGTCCATAGGAATGACCTGACTGTAGCCACCACCAGCTGCACCGCCCTTAATGCCAAAGGTAGGGCCTTGCGATGGCTGACGCACGTTGGCGAATGCAATTCGTCCAAGCTGACCAGCAAGTGCTTGTGTGAGACCAATAGTGGTAGTGCTCTTTCCTTCGCCAAGAGGTGTTGGCGTGATACCAGCGACAAGAATATAACGTCCATTCTTTCGATGCTCGAGACGCTTTAGCACATCGAGAGAAACCTTGGCCTTGTAGGCGCCATATGGCTCGAGCTCGTATGGTGCAATGCCGACTTCAGCAGCGACCTTGTTGATCAACTTCGGGTGCTGTGATCTTGAAACTTCAATGTCCGAAGGAACAGGCTGCTTGAGCTTGAGTGGCAGCGGTGTGATGTGTCGGGACTTTTGCTGTGCAAAGTATGCATCTGCCGCATCGACGACGTTCGAGAGGAGCATTGCAACAGTCATTGGGCCAACACCTCCTGGTACAGGTGTGATCTGGCTTGCAACTTCGACTGCAGATTCGTAGTCGACGTCTCCCACCAAGCGTTGACCAGACTTCTTGGTCTCGTCGGGAATTGGGTTGGTGCCAACGTCAATGACCACAGCACCAGGCTTCAGCCAGTCTCCCTTGACGAAGCCCGGTGAACCGAGCGCTGCAACGACGATGTCTCCTGTCTTGACCACATCCTTCAAGTTGGCAGTCTTTGAGTGACACACAGTCACAGTAGCATCTGCATTTCTCAACAGATAGCTGACAGGTGCTCCAACAATGTCGGATCGACCAATGACTATGGCGTTCTTGCCCCGAACTTCAATGCCACTCTCTTTCAAGAGCGCCATGACACCCTTCGGCGTACATGGCACAAACATAGGCCTGCCACCCTTCTTGGCCAATTCTCCAATGTTGACCGCTCCGAAGCCATCCACATCTTTCTGATCGGCGACCGCGGAGGTGATTTCGTATTCGTTAATGTGCTTCGGCAGTGGCAACTGAACCAGCATGCCATGGACAGACGAGTCGTTGTTGTACTGCTCGATCTTCTCCAGCAATTCGTACCGAGAAATTGACTCATCGTACTTGACCAACTCACAAGCAATGTTGGCCTCTTCGCAGGCCTTGAGCTTCATGCGCACATAGGTCGAGCTGTCCTGGCGATCGCCAACCTGGATGATGACCAGGCTAGGCTTGTATCGAAGGTTCTTGGCCTGCTTCTCGGTAACCTCTTTCGAGATGCGCTGCCTCAAGCTTTTCGCAATGGCCGTTCCGTCGATTTTTGCGGCCGTCATTTTGGCTGCTGTTGACGAGAATGAGCGGAGGCCAGCAGCCTTATATGGTGGACGGGTAAGTGATGCCAGGCGGGCAGGAGAAGGGAGGTGTGGCCGCACAGAGGGAAAAGCCAATGCGGAGGGAGAAATCGGAGGTGGAAGGAGTCGGAATTTGCAGTCGAGGCATCTGTGGCGGTGGGGCAGCAGACGACTTGCGCCGATCATCCTGGGAATCATAATGGAAGCAACAAACGAGGGTGGAGGACTGCCAGATGCAACTCCCTTGCGCCGATACGCCCCCAAACGCGCGAAAGATGCAGGCGATGGTCAGCTGTTGAGTAGAATAGTTGACTCGGGAAATTATGATACAATAATACCTGATCCTTACGTTTCTTGCACTCGAGCCACGGTGCACGGATGAGCACGGGAAATCTTGGCGCGCGCATGTGCCTTAGGTAAGCGGGGAACCAACGTACAAATTCCACCAGCGACCGCAACACTTCACCACCACATACAACAATCATGCGGCCGATCCTTCTTAGCGGGCACGAGGTATGTATATTGTATTTCACACGCTATATGCCTCGGACTAACCATTTTCCAGCGTGCGCTCACCCAGGTGAAATACTCCAAAGAAGGCGATCTCATTTTCTCCGTCTCCAAAGACCATGTCGTGTGCGCGTGGTATAGCGCGAACGGTGAGCGCTTCGGCGCATACAAGGGACATCAGGGTGCACTCTGGACTGTCGACGTCGACCCGACCACGACTCTCTTGGCTTCAGGAGGCGCAGACAACACGATACGATTGTGGGAGGTCAAGACTGGCAGACTGCTCAAGACGTGGGAATTTGGCACTGCGATCAAGCGCGTGGAATTCTCAGAGGATGGAAAACAACTTCTCGGCGTGACGGAAAAGAGACAAGGACAGCTCAGCAGTATCGTGGTCTACGACATCAACCAGGACCCCGAGGGCGAGCAGGTCGATGAGTACAGCTTGCGCATCGTGGTTGACGACATTCCCAAGGTCACAGTCGCTGGCTTCTCATATCTCACCAAGTACATTATCGCAGGACACGAAGACGGCAGTGTGACTCAGTATGATGCCAAGGACGGAAGCGAGCTCAACCACACCTACCCACACGAAGAGAACTCGCTCGTCACCGATCTGCAGTGGAGCACGGACCGAACATACTTCATTACTGCCTCGAAAGACAAGACTGCGAAGCTCATCGACGCGAAGACGCTCGACGTTCTTAAGACATATGTCGCCGATACCCCTCTGAACAGTGCTGCCATTACTCCCGAACCCACAAACTATGTCATCCTTGGTGGTGGTCAGGCAGCTATGGATGTGACCACAACCTCAGCGAGGCAAGGAAAATTCGAAGCCAGATTCTATCACAAGATTTTCGAGGAGGAGGTTGGTCGAGTGCGTGGTCACTTCGGTCCTCTCAACTACGTTGCTGTGGATCCAACTGGGAAATCCTACTGCTCTGGTGGTGAGGACGGATATGTGCGTGTGCACCACTTTGATCCGCCATACTTTGACTTCAAGTTCGAGGTTGAGAGGGAACGGGAAAGGCAGATGTAGAAGTGGCAAAGTGCATGAGAGACGAACCTAGATGGTTGGGTGGATATGGCATACATGGCATGGCGTTACGGCGCTGGCAAAAAGGCGTGTGTCTGGCTATCAGATGCGATGAGAGCTTTAGTGCAGCTCATGTGGAATGAATACCCTTGCGATGACAAGTTCTCTCTGCATTATGACTCACGCTCGGCAGAGCAACGGAATGAACTGATCGAAAGCGCATTTCAGCGACAAAGAGGACAGCAGAGACCAAGGCTTCAGACAAGCAAGATTTCTGCTTTGCACAAGCAAGACTTCGTTGACAATTCAAGCCTGGCGTTCCCGCTGCTCTCGAAGATATCCTTTTTCCACGCTCATCAGCAAGTCTACTTCGAGACCTACAGCTCCTCACGCCCAACCTCGTCAGCCATCGAGGTTGTCCGGACACCCTCTGAGCTGGTATCCGGTGCTTCCTGTGAGATACGATCGTTCCCACGTCCATCTGCGTACTTTCTCTTGCGGAAAACTCCGAATCTATTCAAAATGCTTCTCAAGTAGCCGGGGTACTCATTCATACTCTCGCCAATTAAGGGGTCAACGCGATTCTGTTGAGAATTTGGAAGTGTGTTTGTGGGTTCGTCATCGTCAGAATGTGTCCCAGAGACGTCTGTGGAACTTGGCAGATGCGCAACAGTGTCGTCAGTGAAGGCGTCAACACGATTCTGATGATCGTCCCGAGGTGTATCTGTGAGTCCGCCATTGTCAGATTGTGTTTGAGAGACATCCGTTAGACTTTCGCTATCATCTGACAGATGCGTGATGGTAGTGTCGTCGGCGGATGCTGGTGGTTCATCTTCTCGCGGCGTTGTCACATCCGGCTCGGTTTGGGTTCTTTCAGAGGGAATGATGTCGTTGGAAAGCTTGTCAGGTCGCGCGGTACTCTCGATGGAAGAAGGCCAACTTGCTTCGACCTCCCCTTGCCGTCTTCGTTCGAGCTCGTTCATGCCGTCTGCGAAGGCAAGCGCGACGTCGGCAACATAAAAAGCATAATTGTCAGCGTTCTGCAAAGCCTGGCGTGAGCTGATCCCGGCCAACGTCTGGGAAGCGCCTCGGCCGTACACTTCGCAGTTGGTCTCATACTCATTGCACCATTCGAAAATCTGGTCGCCAACTACACAAGGTCAGTCTCGAGGCAGACAAGTCCCAAGCTTGGGAAGGTTTCAGGACTCACTGTGCTCAGGAAATTCATCAATATCGAGACCAGTAAACGGTCTATCAGCAAGGTGCATCATTTCATGAATGACCGTCAAACTTCGACATTTTTGAGCCGACTCAATTCTGACGCGATGATCACGTTGAAGAACGATGTCCCACCAGGATGCTCCATCCTCAAAAAAAAGTGGACAGAAGTGGACGGTCTCGTTGTAGAACTCGGACACCAGAGCTGCCACACCGGGAGGGCATGCCGCGAGGCAAATCATATGGATATGGGGCAATTTAGCCAGGGCATTGCCAAGAGTACCTGCAATCTCGTTAGCGCATCTTTCAGGAGGCCTACATTACAGTTGTGCAACTGACTGGTGATTGTATCCTGACGCTCCTTTGAAAGCTTGCCAAAGTATCTTTCTTCTAATTGAAGGAGCTCTTCTGATGTTATTTTGCTTGAGCCTTCGAGATCGAACATCCGGCCATCGTGGGAAGAGACGGAGCGTTTTCCTTCCCGAAGCTTGGTCACCAAACCCAGCATCGTAGACGCATGAATCATTGCATCGGTCATGTATCGCCCGCGCTTGACGGTACAACCAGTTAGGCGATTCAAGACTCCTTCGTAGTACACTTCGTATTCGAGATTTGCATCTTCAGGTGTCGCGATGCTCGGGCCTCCATCGGCATAGAAGTCGTTCCATTGTGCTGTGGTGGCAAAAGGCAACACGGCTAGGAAGGCTGAGACGATTAGACTGGCAAATCGCATCTTGGGTATTCTCTCTGTAAGCTGCTGAGCATACCTGATCACAGTCTCCAGACGGCAGCACTTTATGTCTAAAGCCATGACTGAGACTTTGCGGCGATAAGGCTCCAAGCAAATGACACGCCCAAAGCTCGGATAGGTCGCAATGCCTTGAAGACGCCCGAGAACTCCATCGGCAGAAAGAGAGCTTTGTGCTCGGAGGCTCGCTCGTCTCATTGATCGCTATTGCGGCAAAGGGCCTCAGCAAACTGTACACGTAGCTTCCTTCCATGGGCGGTAAGATAATATCCAAACCACGAGACACCGACCAGAATCACCGAGCATCGAAGCTAGCTGTAGATTCAGCGCGTCATCCCGGCGTGCTCTTGCTGACATGCTTGCAGCATTTCTCCATCTCACTCCTTGGTGTTACTTTGTTGCTTACGGGACGTGGTGGCCAACGAAAACGTAGAAGCCTCCGCCGTCAGGGTCACGAGGCCGACCGGGCCGCATGGCTTGGATGCTCGGCTAGGTGCTGCCTCTTCAGATCTGATGCTGAGTTCTGTCCCTTGAGTCGCTCACGGGAATGCCATGACAATGAGCATGCCATGTTTTACGCGACGACCTTCGTCCTGTCCCTCAAGCGGAGTGATGCCAGATTCCAGGGAGGTCTTGAAATCAATCCACGCTCTTGAGCACGAGTGGCCATGGATAAGCGACAGAATGACGTCTCAGCAGACACTTCCGCATTGTCATATTGATATAGGGACTTTGAGAAAGAATTGCGCTCCGTGACCCGTATGCTCTTTTTGGAGCTACCTTCCGACATCGTCATTTCGGCTCTCTCAAACTCGCGGATTTCTCCAAATTCTCTGGCACTGACTGGAGATCAAAAGTCGCTATTAGCAAACACGACGCGAGGCTTGATAAGACTGGTCGTGTGCTAAAGGAAGTACATTCCAAACAGCGACCAGCAGACGCATTCAGAATGACAATGAGCGATAAAACTGGAGCACAAGAACTCGTCGACGTGGTCATCTGGTGCGCAGACGAACAGCCTACAGACAACGGATTCCACGAGTTCGGCCTCGCTGGAAAATTACCCAAGAACATCTTCGACTGCGACCTTCCGGGTGTGTGGACCCACAGCACGACATCGGAAACACTGGGGGTTCCTGTGAAGTTCTACGGCATACGCAGCTCGAGCTTCGAAGAATCGGTGTGTCGACAGAATGGGCTCACCAGGTGGCTCAGTTTGCGCTGTGATAGCCCAGATCCGAAAATTCTTGGTCAATTTTACCCTGGTCAGGGTTGCTATATAGACTAGGTGGTTTTCGTCCGTGAAGATGGCGGACCGCTTCAGGTGCAGCACATCGAGATTTTGCACGCGTTCTCAGTCAAAAATGCGGACCTCATGCTTTTCCAGGGCGTTGTGCGGATGGTGTCGCAGGGACAAGAGGGAGGACAGGACGGGTTTGGTATGGTGTGGGAAATGCAGACGTCGGCAATATTGCGGTGCGGAGTGTCAGCGACAAGATTGTTCAAGGCACAAGAGATTCTGTCGCAAGTCGTAGGTTTTGGATGGATTCAGGAAGTGGCGAGGCAGTGAATTTTCTCTTCCTGCGCCCGCTTGATGATTCATAGTCGAGGGAGCTCCAGAACACATCGCTCTCAGGTCTTCTCGGCGGCGGACTAGACCCTTTGACACCTGAGCCTACCGCATTAACCGCAAGCTAAATGTAGCGCAATGCAGCATGCTATAAGACCTGGTAGTCTCTTCATGTCTCCTGATTTCGCCCAGAGGTAACGTCACTGTTTGATCTTCGGTCCGATTGTCCAACCAGCCTTGGGCAGCAGTCGGGTGTGTAGTTCCATTATTCACCTGAGCTCAATCACGAATGTATTGGAGTGGTGGCACAAGGTCCTTCGCCTCGTTCATGAATTCTATAACCCTCTGCAGAGCATCCCCGAACTTCTCAATCACCCGTGTCCAATTCTAGATCCAGCTGCACCCCGTTACTGACTCCGTAATCTTCCAACGTCAGCTGATCCTTGAAAGGCCGTTCTCCCTGCCTCTTCAACATAATTTCGTGCGGTTGCCGACCAATGTGAGCTGCCACCATGGCCTTGAATACCTTCACGGAATCACTCGCCAAGCATGGTATGGCGGCCTTTGTTCCCAGTCGATCGTTGACGTTCACGACAATCATAGGCTCATTCGAGACTGGCGCAGCCTTTGCCTTCTTGTCCTTCTTTTTCTTCTCGCCGGGCTTGCTTTCGTCTGCTGGCTTGTCTGCTGGCTTGTCTGCTGTGTTGGCTCGAGGGACATAGTCTCCGAATTTCGAAGCCATGTCGTCTCTTTGCGGCGGCGAGCGATCGCGTGCGGATCGATAGCTATCGCCTCCACCACGACCACCTTCGCGATGGTCGTCTTCTCTAGGCTTTGGCGATCGGTCTCTCCTGCGATCGTCGTCCTTGTGCTCACGTGAATCATCCCGGCGCCTGTAGTTGTCGCGATCTCGGTAGCTGCCTCGCCGTGGTGACCTGTCTCGATATCCACGCTCTCGTCGTCCGCTGTCGCGTGGATTGCTATTGCTGTCTTCATCTCGACCTCGCTTCTCCTTCCACTTGAAGCCACTGCTCTTGCTTTTCTTGGGTCGCGCGTCTCGAGCAGGCGATCTCGACCGCTCGTCTTCTGAAGCCATGGCTGTTTCTGGAAATGCGAGTGCAGGTGCAGAAGCTGCAGTTTGGCCTTGGATAGCGAAGACGTAGAGTTCTCGCTTACGGACCCAGCTCCGACCCATCAAGGCTTGGCTCTTGCATGTGAGATCGCATCCCTCCTTCCCACTTCCTGTGTCTGCTCTTCCATCTTCATGGGCCACCTGCAGCATGAGCCGCTCTGCACCTGACTGCTCTGCTCTGCTCTGCTCTGCTCTGCTCTGCTCTGCTCTTGCAAGCACGCTCACGTCGCCGACACAGGCCCGCTTGAGATTGCCTGAAGGCTGTAGGTTGTCTGAAATTCCGGCGTTCTCTCTGCTCTGATTCCACGGTTCCCTCTCGCATTGTTGCATCCTTGTACAGAACTCCCTTTTCTCTAATATCGACACCTTGACATGGCATCAGACAGGACTCCCGTGGCATTGACGCCGGGTGTCATCGTCAAAGCGACAGATACTTCCACCCAGTCCAATCAACAGCAATGGCCCAGCAACGTGGAAGATATTCCCATTCCTGCTTTGGACACAGGAGTCTTCCTTGCCGAGCTAGCGAACATAAACAAGCTGCCCGCGAGGCCGAAATATACTGACGAAGAACGAGATGCAGCTCACATGAATCCAGAATCGCTACTCCAAAAGTTTCAGGACTACCCAATATCACCCATCGCAGAAGGGACATACCGCGACACTCAGCTCGCCTTGACCAAGATCTCTCAGCAGATCGACTCCAGCTATGCTTCGTTCATGAACACTGCCAATTTCGAGCCATCAATCCCGCGTCCATGGACCATTGAGCAGAAGCGACAGGCATTCAGCTTCACAGATCCTACATCCGATGGATACCCGCCACATTTGAATCTCGCCGGCAATAGAGCAATGTCGGACATGAACCCTGGAGAGTGGCAGAAGTCTACCATGACACGTGCAGACTTGTTCAGCAAGATGAGACTTGCTCAGATGACAGCGCTGCTACCTCAGCTTATCCCGAAGAAGTTCATCACTACCTCCATCGTGGCTGTTGCGCAGGAACGGGCAAAAGTGGCACTTGGTGATATGGGCAGACCTGATCAGGGCCGCACTTTGAAGGACGTCGAGGACTACAACAGGCGTCAAAGGGCAAGGACTGGAGGCTTTTTCGATCGCAATGAGTGAGGGCTATCATGAATCACTCTCTGCTACGGACACTGATGAGCTGCAGCATCTTCAATTTGCCAAACATGGGCGACATCCTTGACTGGTACAGTGATAGGCGTTTCGCCCAGCAGTTTTTGACTGGTTCGTAGCATTGATAGGATGCAACTTTACAAGTGCTGATCTTTTCTCAGGCTCAAACCCAACTACTATCGAACGTGCAAGCCAGAAGTGGATCGTGCATTTCATAGAAAATGCCACTCAGTCCGCTGCTGACCAGAGGATGAAGTTAAAGATCCAGTCTCTGGTCCTCAACGACCCCGAATCTCTGTACATGCAAGACTACAGTGACTTCCGCGAAGGAGCAGGTTTTTCTCCCAGCCAAGAAATGAAGTGCAGCTATACTGAGTACTACGATGCTGGATTGGGCAAAATGTCAAAGGAGAGCTTCCGCTATGGTGTTGCAGCTGTCTGCCTCTTCCATTTGCAGCCAGATGGTCAACTGCAACCTCTCGCAATTGTCTGCGATTGGCGTGGTAGCGCAGCGAAATCCGTGAGTCGGGGGAACGAGAGCTCCAAAATTGCTTGAACGTACTTGCTAACATTGCGTCTTACTGCAACAGGTCACAATCTACAACAAAGAGCTGAGCCTGTCTGAACAGAGTGAAGACTGGCCATGGCGCTATGCGAAAACATGTGTTCAATGCAGTGACTAGGTGCGCCATGAGATCACAGCACATCTGGTCAACACCCATTTCATGGAGGAAGCAACGATTGTCGGAGCTCAACGCGCGTTTGAAGATAGCCACCCGGTGTTCCAGCTCCTATACCCTCATGTAAGTATCCCGAAGGGTGCAAGGCACGACTCCGCCAAGCGGATCCTGCTGAGGTCCTGAGATCGAACCCAGCAGTGTGGTCTCATTCATCTTTGAGAAAATTGCTAACCTTCGTGCTCCTCATTCTTAGTGGCAGAAGACACTTTCGGTCAACGCTGGCTCCCGCGCATCACTATGTCCGAATGTAATTTGCGAATTAATCGGTATGAAACTGGATCAAGCGAAAGCTTTCATCTTGACGGAGTACAAGAAGTTCGACTTTGTGAGCAGCTACGCTCCCAATGACCTCGCGCGCCGCGGCTTTCCAGTCTCGAGACGCCACGAAGCCAGATATCGAAATTATGCCTATGCCAGATGCATCTACTCGATGTGGTTCAAAATACGCGAGTTCGTGGAAGACGTGCTCAAGGTACACTACGGTAACGACCCTCATTCCGCCGACTTGGCTGTCTTACACGACTCTGCGATCAAGGATTGGTGCGACATCATGCAAACGCCATCCGCCCCTGTTGGAGGCGGCGCCGAAATACGTACGTTTCCCACGATTGTAAACTTCAACATGCTTGTCGATGCAGTCACGATGTGTATACATCTCGCATCACCTCAGCATACTGCTGTGAACTATCTGCAGAACTACTATCAGAGCTTCGTTCCGAACAAGCCTGCTTGCCTCTATAGGCCTGTACCAACAACGCGTGCCGAGCTGGACAACTACAAGGAACAGGATCTGGTCGACGCATTACCGATGAATCATCCTCGAGAGTGGCTCCTGACCTCGCACATTCCATACCTACTATCTTCAAAGCCTGGAGACAAGGAGAGCCTGATCATGTACGCCGCATCGAAATATCATCTCTATAAGGACAAGCCCGATGCTGCCAGCAAAGGTATAGCGCAAGCCGCAGCGAAATTCTACAAAGCTTTGGCAGACAGCGAGGACGAGTTTCGAAAGTACGGAGACGCCACGTGGGATTCATCGGAAATCCGCTACAATGTCCTCAGTCCAAGCTGGAATGCTGTCTCGATTGTTGTTTGATCGCGGTCAGAACGATGGAGAGGATTCTGGAGCGACACCTGTACCTTCCTAGACTCATTACTTTGGTAAATATGCCCTATGCATCAATGACCTACTCGCACTTTGCAACCTTATCTCGGCTGGAAACTGAAATGTACTCTTTGATCAGTGACGCACTCGATGTTGTCTGGTGCTGTGTTCCCCGTTACTCCTGCTGACAAGTGGTTGACTTCTTTTGATGCTCGGGTGTTGTCGGAGTTTGGGCAGACTGTAAGTCAATGGGATTTGCATGGTCTGAGTGCTGACGCTGTGTCATTTAGATCGTGAGCACTTGATGTTCGATGGAAATAATGATGAGGAGTGAAAGGAGTTGTTGGATCAGTCACTCCGGAGAGGGTCGGAGAGAAGGAGCATTTGAAGCGTTGGCCCAGCAGCGGCCCAAGCGGGCAGGATTCACACCTCGCTTCAACAATACCCAGGCCAGGACTCTTTGAACGCGAATGAAAACTTTTGTTCCTTTCTGTCACTAATGGCCTCCCGTGGGCGAAAGTCTACTATTCAGACGGCTCGCGAGCTACTTCACCCAAGGTGAACTCAGAGCGGAGGTCCATCCACGAATGCCGAAAGAGGCAGTCAATGAGGCAAGATTCTCCCCTGTAAGATTTCCAACAAAGGCAGTACTATGAACATGACTTTGCTCAAGATCTCATCTACAGATGCAAAGAGCGTGTTCATACTAATGGGCCTCATGCTGGCTTACTTAGTAGTGAGCTTTCCCAAGATTAATAAGCCGGAGAGCTAACGCTGACGTGCCTAGGTACTGTACCTTCACATGTAAAGTCAATTGCAGTGGGACACCATTTATCCGCCAGCACACTTTCAGTCTTTCAAGGGTCCTTCGAGCTCTCTGTTTCAGCAGGCACAAAGACCGTCGGTACTCTACTAAGAAGTCTCCACCAAGCCTCGGTTATCCAGATCTCTTCCTGAGGCGCTGTCAGCATCCACATCTTTCCCAGATCTGCCCTTTCCTCAATTTCTCACCACACATCCCTCGATCAGGCAGCCCATGGACTTTGTGCCAGAGTTCTTCTGCCTCCTACTCAAAGCAATTCGATAAATTGCAACATCAACAACAACGAACCGCCAAAAATGACCAACTCCAAAGAAACGAAAACTCCCCATGTTGTCACCGACCTGCACAGCAAAGAATCCGCATACGAGCTTAGCGTGAATGGCCTAGAAGATCTGGTCGCTTTCGAGCATACCCCAGCCGGTCTCTGCGTTGTATCCAAAATCTCAGCGCCTGCAGGTTCCCACTTCGCCTTCATCACTTCCCATGTCCCTCAACCCAAGGCCTCTTGGAAAACAATCCAGACTTCCGCAACCACGCAGACAGATCCGCGGAGCGCTTTACTGTACATGAATCACTCCTGTGCACCATCCCTCGAAGTCCACACTTATGCTCCAGACGCTGATGGCAATTATCCCACCGAGCCACCTTCTGGGAAGTTGGGGGAGGAAGCGAAACATCTCACGCCCGCTGGTCTGGCAGGCGAGGTTAAGGTGGCGAGGGATCGCGATGTTAAGCCTGGAGATGCTTTGACGTTCTTTTACCCTTCGACTGAATGGCATATGGATAGGCCGTTCGAATGCCTTTGCGGCGCGGGAGATGGTGTGTGTCTTGGTACAGTGGCTGGAGCTGATGCTATTGACGAGAAGGGACTTGAGAAGTGGTTCTTCAATGAGCATATCTGGCAGCTTGTGAAGGAGCGAGAGTCAAAGTAGATTGGAGATGAGGCTTGAAGAAGCGTGCGACTTGGATTCAACTCGAGGTGATGAAAATGTTTTATGATGAGGACTTGAATTTCGATAGCTTAGCATAGCTTTCAACAAGTATAAGCTACGGAATGTGTTTGAATCACATACTCAATCCTATCATATCCATAATGAGTGGAAGCGCGTGAGTTGAATCATGCACATGAAGAGCGCCGTCAACACCTAACCACTTTCGGCAATATACTCCCTGTCCACACCACCTTAATGATCCTCCACCAAGAATCCACACCACAGCCTAAGCGCTCGCAGCGACACGCTTCACATCAAGACGATGGAACCCACCTTCCTCAGCCACAATCTTCTGCAACTCCACCATCCTCTTCTGATCACCCACAGGATCAAGCTGTTCCTGTTCCCCCGTCCACTCCTCCACAAACTCATTCGTATAATTCGGGACAAAATCCTGCTCAAGCACGCCCAAACGTTTCCCATACGCGGTCACCTTCTGCCAATCGCGCTGCACATTCTTCAAATCTTTGGAAAAGTACGCGAAAGATCGCTCGAAGATTTTGCGGTTCAGCGCTGTTCCCATGCTCGGTTTGAAGTCTACGTATTCGACCCAAGCGTGTTCTGGATCGGTGAGGACGAAGTCTGTGGCGCGTTTGACGGCACGCATGAAGGCTTGGACTTTGGTTGGGTTTTTGGAGATGAAGGGTTCGTTTCCGATGTAGAGGATTGAGCAGAAACAGCAGCAGCCTAGTTCGGCGAGTTCGTCGATTCGAAGCATTTGGACGTCGCTTTTGGGACGGCCTTGAGAGGAGAGCCATTCGGCGAGTTCGACCATTTGGACGTTTTCTAGACCGATGCCGGCGTCGATTTCGCCTTTGATTATGGCTTTGGAGACGTTCATGCCGCAGCGAATGGCGGTGTAGTCGGATGGTGACATTCCGTAGTGGGAGGTTAGTTCGTCGATTTGGATTTTGCCGAATTCTCCCACGTAGCCGATTCTCTTGCCTTTCAAGGTGCGGAAGTCGGTGGTGATGCCGGAGTCTTTGAGGTAGACTACGCCGGTGAAGGGCTCGTCGAGGAGTGATCCGATCGACACAATTGGATAGTTACGGGCTTTGGCTGCCAAAGTATGGATCATGGCCTTGTAACCAAGGTCGACTTTTCCGCTTCCAATGATCTCGGTGACATCCTTTGGTTCACATCAGCATCTCAGCTCTCTAACTTGTTCGGAGCAAGACCTACGCTTGGATCGTTCGGCTCCAAAAGAGCCACCTGAATCCCTTCTTCTTTGAAATATCCCTTCGCCTGAGCGAGGTACAATGGGGCGTGATATGGCGTAGCGTGCCTTTCTTCTATCAGTCAAAAGATCTACTGCCCAGCAATCATTCCAGTGTACCAGTTGGTCAAGAACGTAATCTTGTCAGTAGACATCTTGAAATCTCACGTTGGAAGTGCTGCCAAAGTCAATACACCCCAAAGCTCGTCACAAGAAAGGGAAGTGAAGGAGGATTGCATTGTCCCTATCGCAGGATTTACCCTGTTCAGGTTCCAACGGTATGATCTCAGATCAAATGTCTGCTCAGACTACCCAGGTAGAAGAGCGAGGACAAGTGAACACCCGTAATGCATTTTTTTTGACGAGAATTAATGCGTGTTATAGGTACCTTGATCATCTTTGAAACTGCAGAGTCCATCCGCCATGTAGGACATGGCCTCCATCTTGAGCGCCATACCGGTGATGTAGACGTGTTTTGCCGTCGGTCGAGGTGTTTGGAGATATTCTTGTTTGATCAGACGTCGTATGAGAGAGAAGGACGCTTTCCTTCGGCCCGGCTGTTTTGTGCTCTTGCCAACGCAGTAGGTGGGGTAACTAGCATCCCCAGAAGTCACATCCAAAGTGTTGGGATGACGCACTCGAGGTCATTATGGTTTTTGTTAGACTGAAGCATATGGACGTACAAGCAGGGAAGACTGCCGTTGTCGCTGTCCAAGGCACAGGAAAGATTGGCCCACGGAAATCCATACTCAATGCCTTTGATAATGTATATGGAATTGCTTTCATTAGTAGATGCCAGAGCGGAATCTCATCGCCGAACAATGCACCGCTCTTCTCGTCACTTCATAACCACATAGTCCGTTCCCTCGTCACGCTTTCAGGATAGCTCTTAATTGTCCTCAACAATGACAGGTAAACTGTCGAAGACTACTTGATTGTGCTCGTAATGCACCATGAATCCGCTTTGAAGTAGACGCTTCAGGGCACTCAGCCTATGGAGCTTCCACCACTTGTCGATTGACATCTTTCCACCTCCATGAATGGTCACCTTCATGCGAGAGCCATATTCGCGGCCTTCCTCGTCAAGAGCTGTGCTGTATCGAGGGCCTCGTGTTGGCTTCTCTACAGTGTTCAGTATGTCCTTGAACTCTATATGCAGATTCTTGCGATCCTGCTTCGAGACACGCTTGGAGTGGCCTTTCGCAAGTTTCTCAAGTCGTTGCTGAAGTAAATGTTCCTGTCGATAGACCGTATATCGCTTGATCATGCGTGGGCCTCTTGCTCGATCTTCGTCATCTGAATCTGCTGGCTCATCATCTGACTCGGCCTCAGTGAAGCTCTTTTCGTAGAGTAACGCAATATTGTCTCCTGCTGCAATTTGAACGCCAACGTCGCTGCTCTCGAGCTGATCGACAAAGGTATCCATCGCCTCCTCTGTGGCATCTTCCATATCGTCGAGCTGAGTAGCTAGCAGACCCCATTCCCCGAGAGATGCCACTACGACCTCAGCATCGTCTTCTGCCTCAACGACGGCTCCATCAGAAGATGCGATCTCCAAGAAAAATTGCATGACCTCTTCGGTTTCCTCCACTGTCGCCCCGCCATAGAAAGTTGCAATGCTCAGCGCATGGATAGCAGCGACCTTGGCAGGACCATGTTGCGAGTCGTTGATGGTTGACTTGAAAATACCTTGTACTGTATCGTAAACAGTCTCAGAAGGTTCGGTGATGATGATCAAAGCCAGCCCTTTCAGAGCCAGGATGACCTCGCGCTCACTCTGACCGCTCTTAACGCTTTTCAGGAGTATTGGCACGATGTCGTCAATCTTCGACTTAAGCTCTTCTTGCGCATAGTGTCGAGTCAAAATCAAGTTGAATCTGCTCAGGTACTGCTCGCGACCTTCTGTTGAGGTGCGCTTGCGATCGATCAAGGTATTGATACAATCTTCGAGTTCTGCCGCCCAAGCGTCGCCTGGCCCATCATCGAGCTCTGACGGTGCAACAAGCGCATCGATACTATTCGTACTCCATTCCGTGGTGTCGCTTAGCTCGCTCTCGTCGTCGGAGCCTTGGCGACTGGCTATGCGCGAGCCGCGTGGTGATGGCTGTGCAGAGCTGCCACGGCTAATGGGCGGAGTGCTCTCCTTTGAGCGCGCCTTGCGCGACACAGTCTTGCCGCTCTCGAGGGCGATTTTTCGTAGGTCTTTCTCGCGCATGGCGGCGATCGATCTTAGGCGTTGGTTGCAGTAGGTTCGCAGAATACGATGGAGCTAAGAGATTTCCGGCGCTATGCCTCTCAACGTGGCAAGACGGGCAGTGGCGACGGCGATGGTAGTTCACTGTATGGGTGGGTGCGACTGATCGTCGAATAGCGAGAAAATGCTGAGTATAAATACTGATTCCATGTGGAAGGCAGCAGGAGGTCAGTGGATACGGCAGAGTCGCAGGTAAGCGATTTGATGTGAGTTGTTGTTGAGTGAAAGCAGCTGGAGCGGTGAAGAGGCCGAAGACGTCTTCGAAATACCGCGCCTGCAAAGTGCGCCGAGGCCAGGATGAGGGGATGCATGGCACCTTGCTGCATGTGACGAAGTTTCCTACTCCACCCGAACGACCGCTCGAGCGAGTGAAGTGGCCAGGGCATCTCTACTGTACCAAGGCCGGCCACGTCGACGTTTGCGGAGGTGGAACAACTTCTCCATAGAGACAAAGACCGTAGCCGTGCCATAGCCAGGCCTTTCTCTGATTGTTCCTTGATGTAAACAATGCATGCATCGAGCGGCCAAGCAATGCCCACGCCCATGCCCATGCCCATGCCCATGCCCATGCCCAATATTCTATGCCAGCGGATATCTCAATAGACTATCATGTAACGTATGCAAGGAGGCTTTCGTGATTCCGGCCGTTCGTTAGCGTGGATTTGTAAGCATCTCAGCGTTCTACATCGATACTTCTACGAATTACTGTACGCTCTATAGCGATGCAATTGTACTGATTTTTGCACTAAAATAATCGCAGCGTCGAGTTCTATAATTCCAAATTTGTAGGCAATGTATTGTAGCAGAATATACTGATGTAGAAGTATGTGGTTTGAAGCCTAGTCGAATAGCTGAGTGCCGCCAAGTCAGGGTCTAGCGAGGGTCGGCCTGAGGGAATGTTGGCTGTCGAGATTCGCGGAAGTTGCCGCTTTCTAATCAATGCTAAACTAACTACTAATCGATTGGTATCTACTGGAAACAGCTAGCGGCGGCCCTTCCCACCGCGCTAACGAGGTGGGTGGCATCACGAAAGCCTCCTTGCATACGTTATGTCAGGCTTGTCAATGTAAGAGCTCGACCACGTACAGAACAAGCGACGATAGACCTCCTAGGTGTCGTTCGTTCATCCTCGCTCGTGGCTGGCAAGCAATGACCCTGTCCACAGGGCATCCATCTGCACGACACACCTATACACCTCGCCAACCAGCATATTCTACCTGCCGACTGGCACTGTATCGAGTGTCAGGACTCATCTACTGGCATCTCACAGCCATATTCGTGCTTGATAACGGCATGTCAGCAGGGCTTCCTTTCCACTGACAGCGCATACTGCATGCCGCGCCCAATCAAGAAACGCTCTTCATGCAAGCTATACACCGCCCGAAAGTAAGCCCGCAGAGCGACGAGCGTCCGGTGACGGCCAGCGGAGCAGCGTGAAGACGAGCCTATATGGAGACACGCGAACAAGCTGTGCAGGTCCTAGCATTTGCTAGTTCCCTAGCGGACTGGACCGCCATGCCACGATGCTGTCACGGCCTCTAACATCATGTTCCTTCCTGTCCATCACTTCTCGAGTCCTGTTCCTGAAAGACCGAGTATTCATACTCCATTCCTGGCTTGGCCTCAATCTCACTCATCCTCCCACTATGCTTCGACCCTGCCGGTAGCAGATCACCGACCTCAAAAACTCTCCCATTCGACCGTGACAAGAAGACTATAGATGGTTGGGCTTCTCGCAGATATGACGCCGCCGGTGGAGGCCAACTGCGCGATATGCGGTGCGCCGCCATTCCCGGAGTGTCCTCATGAGGGCGAAAGACTAGAGCTGGCACTCTCGCAAGCCATGCAAAGATGGGCGGGACTGAACGCAATACGGTAGATCATAGCCGAGAAACATTGGGAGCGGTCAATAAAGACCTTTGGTGGCTGACACAATTGTAGCGAATGGGTGTTGAACCATGCTCGGAACCAGATCATCTCCACATTCAACCAGCTACGCGCAATGCGTATGGAGACGCATCGCAACTACCTCGAATCTCTCCCATACTACACACTTTATCGCCGATTCAATGGCCAGCCGCCTCTACAGCCTGCACAAGTCCAGCTCATACATTCGCAAATACACCAAGCCAATACGGCATTGCAGCAAGGCGTGGATCAAGACTGGCGGACATCTTGCATGCGGTACCCTGAGGTCCTGGACTACTACTTCGGTCTCATCGTTTTCCAGCTTCCCAGCGAAAGAGATTCACGCATAATAGACCCAAGGTTTGGACCTCCCAAAGAGCCCGGGACAAGGAAGATCAGAGAGCGAAGAGACAGCGTAGAATTCCGAGACCCACCACGAGAACGAAGAAGAGAACGCCGGAGGAGCAGAGGCGGTGGTGGAACTCCTCCACCAGCCCCAATGCCTGGAAATTTCAGGCGGTGATGAATTGGGAGCTCCTCGCAGCAACATAATTTACGGCGGTAATCTTCGCACTTCACTCGCAGATGTATAGACGGCGTACACGGCGAACCTGGGTCTCCACTTCGGCGAGACATTGAAGCGTATCAGCGGGCATATGCATTTTGACTTTTACGATACCACTTTGCGGCATCAGACGTATGCATCAGAAGAGCAACCTTTACTCAGTTATTACAAACCCATTTCTTGAGAACGAAGTCAAGTTCAAAAATCAGGATTAATGCACTACACTACAACAAACAGGAACATCGTCAGCTGTAACCGCGATTCGATGCACATTCAGTGATCCTGTTCTGGAAAGCTCTCATGTGGAAGACGAGAGGCACCGTTTGCGCGGATCGAGATTCGTTGTTGAAAAGTGCGGGTTGCTCCTGCACTGTGATAAGGCGCTTGTGTGATCAACCTCAGCTCGTGCTGTGCAACTTTGCAAAGCTGAGCAGCCACTTGCATCGATTCAAATGAAGTCCTTGAATGCTCATGAAAGGATGTCATGCCTTACATTCAACGTTCTATAAACCCAAGAATATCGCGCGTGCGCGAGAGAGAGCTTTTCTTCCTTTCTTTCCTATGCAATTGCAATCTGCCGATGAATAATGGTACAGTAGTACAACGCTATGCTGTCCGTGGCGTGGGGACAATCTGTTTCGCCCATGCCAACCCCAACGTTGCTTGACGCCAAAATGAATGCGAAATCTCTGGCTGCCTTATTTAGCGACGAGCACCATTCGTCGCATTCTGCATCAGAAGCTTAAAGCCATTCTTCAAAGCTCGCATATCAGGATACCGATTACCCTTGAGTTCGAAACCTTGTGGAATGACCTTGACAGGCCAGTGCGACAGCCGAGCTTCCTGTCCAGCTTTGAAGCAGAGGTAGAAGTGGCCCGGATAATTTGGCCACATGCAGAAGGAGTACATCGAGCGTTTTGGGTTGGCTTCGGTGTAGGTGGTCAACCATTGATCTGTGAATGATATTGTCAGTAACGTATTTTCCGGTGTTGGATTGTCGAGGGCGCTTACCTGTTGCTTCCTTCGTGCCGGACTGGTAGCGCTCGTCGTTGGTCATCTCGTCGACCTTCTTGGCCATGGCTTGGACATGAAAGACGATGAGTTCGTCGAGATCAGAGTATGTGTACTTGCCGATTTTGAGTACCTTCCCTACACTGAACTCGTTTTCCTTGTTGAGCTCCAAAACGTCGATGTGCTGGTACACATCCTCGGCAATCTTCCAGGTCACAGCAAGATGATCTGATCCCTTCGATGATGGTCGAATGATGCAGTCGCCGCGTCCTTGTGTCTTGAGCGCTTCAATGGCTTGTATGGAGTTGAACGGCTTGAATAGACGATGCTTGATGACACGCTGGTGTCGAGCTTGTCCCTTCTCGGCAGCCTTCTTGGCTTCCTTCTTGTCCAGCTCTTCTTGCTGCTCGTCCCACTCCTCCATACCATGATCGAATACCCGCTTGAATGGCGTCTTCATCTCCTGTTCTCGCAATGTCAATTGTGCCGTGAACTTCTTCCGCTCGATGAACGTCAATTTGGCCTGAATGACCTGGTGCTGAGTCCACATTTGGCGTGGCTCGATGCGCTTCGCAGCCATTTCCTCGGGATATTCGGTCTCTGAGATGCCACCATCAATACCACAGTCAAGCTTCACCTCAATATGGTCGGGGAACGTGCGCTTGACAGACACCGGCACAATCATGCCTTCTTGTAGAGAGTCTCGGGTTTCTCCTGTCAGCTGTGTGAAGAGCTCATCTGTCGTCAACCAGTTGAAGTTTCGTCGCAGCTCTTCGTAAGGATTCTGGAGTTCAGCTCGAATGGTTTCCAAGGTGGCACGCTTTCTCTGACCGAACTGCGTTTCGAGCTGCTCAGCGTATTGCTCGAGCACAAGATCATTGACCCTGTCTGTGTGCTCATCCTTCACCAGTTTCCGGACAACGCCGCTAACGCCATTCTCCTCTTGCTCCGCTTTGATGTCTTCCTCGTCAAGTTCGAGGGCATCAGCGGCCATTTTGCGAGCGATCTCGTAGTCTTCAGGGTGGATTCTGGTGTTGTCGAGATAGTCGGCTTCTTGATCATCCTCCCATGTGATATAAAGGAAGCTAGCACAGTTATGGAACACTTTGGGAGAAACAGCTGGACGTTTGCTGACTTCGCCAATCCCGAGCAGATCATTGCGGTTCGTCACCTCGCCTCCATTTGCAGCCACGGCTTTGATCAAATTGTCCGCTTTGCGAGGTCCAAGGCCACAAACGAAAGGTAGCAGGTTCTGCGTGCCAGGGTCGTTGAGAGCTTCATTGAGGTCGACACCAACGAGGTTGACAATATCAACCATGGCCGTCTCCAGGTAGCGCCGTAGTTTGTCTTCCGGCAGAAGGTTCTGATTCGGATCGAATGTGACAGACACGATGTCTCTTTTGAGCGCTGCATACTCCTTTAATGGATTTTGCATGTAGTGTGCAAGCGCGACGCAGTATCGAGCGAGCGGCGGAAGGCTTGGGTGGTCTGTCTCTGCTCGAGGCGTAGACCAGTAAAGTCGAGCGACTTCATCTTGAGGGATGACGACTTCCAGAGGGTCAGACACCTCCCTATCCTCGTCTGGATCTTCATAAGGTGCGCCACGCAGCTCATACTTCTTGACGATCTCCTTTAGATCCTGGTAGAGGCGATATGTCTCTGTAGACCAGCCGGACACAGCGATGACGTCAGGCTTTCTTCGCTCCACGACTTCGACAAAGGCTTGGATGTCTTTGCCCTCAGGAATGTACTTATCCTCTTTGCCGGGCCGCAGGTCTGTGAATTTGCCATTCTCCAAGACGTTTCCAGATTCGTTGACATACGCCCAGCAAATGGCATCTGAGCGATTGCCAGCTCCGTTCGACAATGCAAGCACACGGGCGCAAGTGCCAAGCTCCATGCCCTTCGGCTTGTACGGCGCTTGATCCAGTTTGGTCGTGAAAGCATCTCGACAGTAGCCCGCAATCTTATTTTCGCACTCATTTTTGAGGTTGTCTTTGACGCCCTTGGAAATGAGCTTGTGCATTTTCTTCATCGCCAACTGGATGATTTCTCTTCGGAGCTCATTCCAGGCGTCTGCTACTTGCGAGAAGTTGTCGGATTGGATAGCAGCCTCAAGATTGGCCCTGATGTCTTTTTCTTGCTTCAGGTTGACACGGACTTCTACGAGACCGTCGGCTTCAGCTTTCAGCATGCGAAGATACAATTCCGGCCTCTCAACCAGAAAGTTGCGCACTTCTTGGTTGCGGAGGTACTTGAACTCATAGTATGGGTGATCTTCACTGATCTGTTTGAGACCCTTCTCGGTCCGGTGGCAGTCGAAGATCAAGTTCTTGTAGTAGATCTGTCTCATGTACTTCCGCATGCGTGGGCTTGTCACAATCTCTTCAACCATCATAAGTTTTGCTCCGTCAATGATCGACGTTGAAGTCATGTAATCTGGCGCGCGTATGAGTGAATCCGCGATTTTCTCTGGCGTTTCACCCTGATCATCCGGAGCGGTGTGTCCAAGACCCTCAGCGTTCTTCGCAATTTGATCTGCAGTGAGGCCAATCGCGCGGACCAAATGATACGCAGGTCCTGATCGAACCTTGTCCCAGAAGCCGCGGTTGCCACTTGACCGCTTCTGGCCGCCGTTCTCCTGTGCTTCAGAAATGCTGAGATCCTTGAGCTGTATGGAGTATTGGAAGTTGAGGTAATCTTGAAGATCTTGCAAGTCATCCAACTGAGCGGCATCCGGAATCAACTCGTCGAAGACTTTGTCGTCAAAGCCGGTCTCGAGCTCTTTCAGTAGCTCAACGTTGCGCTGAATTGCGTCTCGTCGCTCAGCAAATGCGCGATATTTGAGATCCTGCTCGAACACATCCCACAGGTCTGTTTGAGTAAAAAGCTTCTCTGCCTTGACTGTGTAGCCGCCACCGTTGGTCGGGATCTGTTCTGAATGAATCAGATAGTCCTTTCGATTCTGGAAAATGAATGCCGGCTCAAAGTCATCCACATTCATAAATTGGAGCACTTGTCTGAGAGCCAGCTCGAATGGCTCTCTCAGACTCGGGTCAAGGCGCTTTCGAGGGAAGAGAATACTCGCGATCCACTTAGCTTCTTCGGCGTTTCGTGCCATGGCCTGGTCCTCTGGAAGATTAGAGGTGTCCTTGTAGGGAGCTCGGGCGAGCTGAAACCGCTCAGGAACATCAGTCGCGCGAATCTCGTTGTCGCGATCTGTGAGCATTCGCTCCTCAAGTTGAGAAGGCTCAAAAACGTCGTGCAACTCAATAGGCTTGTCGGGATCCAGCCCATCTTCGTTCATCTGAGCTTCCGCCGCCAGCGCCCAAGAGTACTCTGCGCCATCTCCGAACGCACCCATCATGTCTTCGAGTTCAATCTCGCCCAGACCAGAATCTTTCAGGTTATTCATATCAGGCATACCACCTCGGCGCGGCGCTCGGACACCCAGGTCCTCATCCAGTTGGCCTCCTTCTTCGTCCGGGAACTCATCTTGCTCGATGAAGTCATCCATCTCGTCGTTGAGGCCGAAACCTGCTCGGCGACCAACGCCAACATCTGCATCGCCATCTTCCTCGTCAGAAAAGATGTCCTCAACTCCTCTGGTCTCGCTGGCAGATCGATTGTCCCTGTGACCACGCTTGAGCCGCTTGAATTTGTTCTCAGGCTCGCGCCGCTCGCCTGGAGCGCCCAAGCCGATGAGATCCAAATCTTCCTCATCGAGCTCTTCTTCCTGCTCTCGCTCTTGACGCCGTCGCTTTTTTCTCTCGCGCTTTCGCGTCGCCTTGGCATCGACATCTTCATCGTCATCCTCGTCTACAATGAAGCCTTCTCGAACAGCAGCCGCAGCTTCCTCGTCGTCATCGTCGTCTTCTTCCTCACTCGAGTCGTCCATATTGGCACCATTCGATTTGCGGCTTTTAGATATCGGCTCGCCAGTCTCCTCGTCGAACTCCTCTTCTTCTTCCTCCTCCTCTCCAGATGCCACATCGGCGGCGTCGTCAAAAAAATCGGCCATGTTGAGGTACGTCTAGCTGTTCTCAAATTGGATTGTGAAGGAGATGGACGAGAAGTCGCGGATCGCTGGTTGATATATGCTGTCGCCAACGTAGGATGTGGGTGATCACGTGACTCTGGGCGGCCGTTCGAGCGCAACGACAACGACGACTGCGCCAATGGTGAAAGAACGTGGTGGTGGATGTCGTGTGCAGACCTTTTGTTTGAACGTCGCGCCTACCCTGGAATCTCGAAAGCGCGGACCAAGCCACTTCCGCTTTCGGCATAGTGGGAAAGGCTCCATCAAAATTTGACGGTCACCTTGATTCACTAAAACAGTTCAGACATTCACTTCGCACAATCGGAGCATTGGCGCTAGGTGTACCACGTCAACGATGTCGGTGTCGCATCGGTCGCGTCGTCCCTATAAACCCAGGCCACGACAAATTGTTATTTCCCAAAGCATGTAGAGGATGACGTTACTGTCAGCACATTAAAGCCACCAGCCAAATCCTATCGATTGTGTTTCCCTGTCTCGTGTCGGCCTGACTCTTTGTCAATTGCGAGTCAATTTGCGAGCACGCTGTTTTGGCCAGGCCCCTTCCAATCGCAGGCGAACGGGCAATTCCAACACAATTGGCAATACTTCTCAATGCAACTTTGCAGGACTGGTAGTCGAGTCGTTCCAGTCGTTCCTCGCTTGGCACGTATTGTCTTCCCATGAATAGGACTATCGAAAATAATGCCCCACCTGGTCTCCGACACCTGCATCTGCATCTCGATTCTCGACTGTTGCATCTGCATCTAGCGCGTACGCATTCGCCAATGATAATCTCCCGCGCCCGACATATCACCGCCGCACCGCACCGCACCGCACCGCTCCCACTCGCACCCCCTCGACGCTGCCGTAGTATTCTTGATATCTTATGAGCGACGCTGCTCCTCTCCCCCTCTGCCTCCCTCTGCCTCCTATAGAACTAGGCAATCGCCCGAGAGCCGCCGCCGCCGCCGCCGCCGCAGCCGCAGCCGCCCAGCTCCACCACCATTCGACGACGTCGACACGCTTGCTCTCATGTCAGCTGCTGGCATCCAATTGGCCGACACCTGATTCACCTCTCGACTCAACGCACTGAGCCACGCCTGCGCACTGGTCGCTGTCCGGCACACACCTTACTTCTACGCACGCCCTGTCTCGAGAGTCAAAACATCCGCTGTAGCTGCTGCCTCAATACTACATACCTGTCCACCCGCCCACCTTTCTGCCACTGCGACGCATCTGAATATACGCTTGTACACGACCCCCTCCATCCGCCGGCCAAGGCGGACATATACTGTCCACGATGAGTGCCGACCAGTTCAAGGCGAGGACGATGAAGAGGAAGAACGTCAAAGGTCTTGCTCTCAGTGCACCCGCCAAGCCCGCCGTGCCCTCGGACGAAGATGCGCAATTGCCAGGAGCGCTGGGCAACGATGGCAAGAGGCCAGACACCCTGGAGATTGGCGTGGAGTTCAGGCCAGATTGGCGGAGCGAGGACCTAGAGATCATGAAAGAGCTGGGCTCCGGCAATGGCGGCACTGTCAGCAAGGTGCGACACAAAGGCTGGAATATTGTTATGGCAAGGAAGATCATTCACGTCGAGGCGAAGAAGGAAATTCGGAAGCGAATTGTCAGGGAACTCCAGATCATGCACGAGTGCAACTCGCCCTATATCGTCTCCTTCTACGGTGCCTTCATGAATGAGTCCAACGATGTGACTATGTGCATGGAGTATATGGATGTTGGGTAAGAACACCGCCTGGCCTTTCCACGTATTGACACAAGCTAACATCAGGTCAGTTCGCTTGACAGTATATCCAAGAACTTCGGTCCCGTCCGAGTCGATGTGTTGGGCAAAATCGCCGAGGCTATCCTGGGTGGCCTCAAATACCTCTACCTGGCCCACAGAATTATGCATCGAGACATCAAGCCTTCCAACGTCCTGGTAAACAGCCGAGGCCAAATCAAGCTGTGCGACTTCGGCGTTTCTTCAGAATTGGAGAATAGCGTTGCCGATACCTTCGTCGGTACTGGAACTTACATGGCCCCGGAGCGAATTCAAGGTAGCCCATATTCAGTCAAGAGCGATGTGTGGAGTGTCGGCTTGACATTGATGGAGTTAGCAATTGGCAAGTTCCCTTTCAGCGTCTCGACGGAAGATGGCGAAGAGGAGGCGTCGGGACCACAGGGTATTCTTGACCTGCTACAGCAGATTGTGCTGGAGCCTGCCCCAAAACTACCCAAGAGCGATGCTTTCCCGTCGATATTGGAAGACGTCATAGCGAAGTGTTTGATGAAGAATCCAGAAGAGCGACCTACACCTCAGGAGCTGTACGACACCGACCCGTTCTTGCAGGCAGCGAAGCGTACGCCTGTGGATCTTGAACAATGGGCGGTCAGCATGATGGAGAGACACAACAGGAAAAGCCACCTGGCGCCGCAACTCTCGCCCTCGACACGTGCCTTGTTACGCGGCGAGGAAACACCGAGCCAGACTTCCAGCTCCTCCAACTTGAGCCAGCAGACACCAACTGTTGGCGACATTCCAATATCCTCCGAATCTGCGACAAGCACGTCTAACGGTACAGCTCGTCCCTTTCCAATCCGCACGAGTAGTGCCAATTACGTACAACAGCCAATGAATCTGCCCATTCGACAATCTCCAGCATCATCACGATCGAGGCCGGAGACTGCAGGCGGCGACCGCGGGGATTCCTACAGGCGACCGGCGCCAGGCTATGTGCAGTGATTGCGCACACAACTCTTGCACCGGTGATACCAGTCCCAGATTCTCGTTGCCGCTTCCTTGCTGCCACTAGCCGTGACCGCCACCTTCGGGCCATCTCGGTACACCACCTCTGTTTAGTCGAATGCTCAGTCTTGCTGAGCTCATCGCCACGGTATCGTCAGGCAATTCTCGCGGGACAACGAGCCAATGAATTTAGGCCGTGGTGGTGCAGAAGCTCGATGCAGATCCCAAGCCCGACGAGCCACACAGACGGCCCCATCTTTGACCGAGAACAAAGCATCACAGCTTCGGACATTCATGCGGCGGTCTGCTGTGATATGCAGCGATGGCACGGTGGGTACGAGTGGAGATGCAGCTGCGATATAGCCGCCCACTCCACTTTACCAGTGTTTGGCAGGTGCTTTGTGCCACGCCCTTCGCGTGAGGGCAAGCATGCTCAGATGAAAGACCAGAACAGCGGTGACCGAGATCTGGTCGGTGGGAGCACTATATTATTACCTCGGTGCCAACAGGATATGCTGGCTTCGATCATTGCCGATGAAACAGATGCAACACCTCCGGGCGGGCGTCTCCAAGCATAGGGAGGAGACTTGTGCGGGAAATTTCTGCTTTTACTGCCATTTTCACAACATTTCTGTGCATATACGGGCGTCTACTTCGGCTGTTCATAAGCATCGACTGCGAGTGAGAGCAATATCAGCCGCGAAATTCTGGGATGTTTGCATGATTACGTAGCACTTGGAAGTAAGGGAGCGAAGCGGAGAAGGAGAAGGGGAGCAAACTTCTGAGGTGTGCTTCGTAGAATTGACAGCGCAATTCATCAATGGAGCAGTGCAGCACAAACGATCCTATCAGAAGCCGTAGAGTCCGCTTTTGCAATATAGGCCTATGCCGGCTGAGCTTGGTGGTGGTGCTGCATCTTGGCGGGATTTGCCCCCTCGTGGGATGCTCAAGGTGCTTACTTTCTACGCTCGGGGATAATTGTTCTTGCTCGTGACAGTCGCGGGTGACTTGGGCTTTGTGGATACCTGACGATGTGTGTTGTTTGGCAGTCCCTCGCTTGTCACCGAGACCTTCCCCGCGATCTCGAAGGCGTACTCGATGCCTCCGTCAACTCCTTCGCAGATCCGCTGCACAACCGCCCTCATCCCTCACAGTCATGCGTCGTGCCGGAGGCGCGTTTTGTTTTCGCTGCAGTGCTCACGACCTCTCCATTCGTGCTCCTCTTACATAGCAGCGGGCGGGAGCGTCTGCAGACTGCCGGTCATGAGTTCGCTGATCGCATCTGCAGCTAAGCATAGCATAAGGTAGCATGCACTCGGGCCTGTTCGATGACATCAAACAGGGAAGCTGCCACGCCGGTGAGGCTTCGCAACAGCCCTTGCGCTTCGCGGCAGAAGCAGCGCTCAGCTGGTGTGCTGGCTGCCATTTGCTGACGTAGCAGCAGCAGTGTAGAGAAGTACTCAGCACTCTTCCCGAAGGAATCAGGCACGGCGCGAGACATCAGAACCCTCTTTTGCGAAGCTTCGAGACGTCTCTCACGGTGCCTGGCGGCGGCGTCCTGTGCCTGACAACGCGATCTGACCGACGTACTCTTCGTCACAACAGCAACAGCAAAAACAATACCCATCAACCCGAGGCAGACTGAGTCGCTGTTTCTCTTTTCCGGCGTCTTGGGTCTGAAGCGGCTCAGCCTGCACAAGACGGCTCCACAACACCACTACACTTCTTCTCCGACGTGTTTCTGCTGTCAGCTGCTCACGTATTGCAATACACCAAAACAATAGCCGAAAGGCTTGGTGCGCCGCCAGACTGCCTGTTGCGGGTCGACAACCGGCTGCTGCAATCGGGCTCTCCGCTATTCTCCTGCTATACTCCTCCCATATGCCATGCCGCTAGGTCCGAGGCAAAGCGCGTACAAAGACGGCAGAAGTCTCTCATGTAACCATTGACCAAGTGACAGGGACGACTCGGAACCGCCCCAGCTTGCTTCGCCATAGGCCTGGGAAAACAGATCCAGTCGTTCGTGCTCCTCCGACACCTATCTGAACCCAGCCTGTCGCCGCTTTGTTTCCAGCCACCGACGGAAGGCGTCGCAGTTGCGCAACACGCGGCAGAACCTACAGATCGTCAGACTTGCATCGTCCATGCAGACCAGGACAATGTCGAGCTCTGCGGTCAGACCCGAAGCCACAGGCAGTACTCCTCCTTTGCAGCAACTGTGAATGATCTGCAGCTGAGCCTGGCTCGTAGCTTCCTCCAGTGTGTTTGCTCTTGGCCCATCCATGTTCACGCCTGCCGACTCTGTGTACACCTACTATAACAATCCTGTTCCGAGCATTGGCGCTGACCGAGGGATCAAGCTGTACGCCTTGTGACGATGCCATGCGCGCATGTTAGCTCCGGCCGCGTGCATGTGTTATGCACAGTGAATGAGGGCGCAGCATAAAGCGACCTCACGCGCACGGATCTGAAGTCTGGAGACTTCATTCTAGTCAGCGGCTGCTTTATTGTTCTTCACTGCTGCAACGGCCATCAGTCACGACCATTATTACTATCTTGAAACATCTCCTCATTCCTCATTGACTACCAAGTTTACATCACTACAGTAACGACACAAAGCTTTCGGCAACATGAATTTCCTCAGCATTATCTCGGCGCTATTGGCGTTGGGCCTCACACGTCCCGCCCTTGCCGCGAGTGGAAGTGACTGGCGAAGCAGAAGAATCTATCAAGTCGTGACGGATAGATTTGCACGCACCGATGGCTCGACAACAGCAGCATGTGAGACCGGTAGTGGCGATTGGTGTGGCGGGACATGGGCAGGTCTCATAAACCGTCTCGACTACATTCAAAACATGGGCTTCGATGCGATTTGGATCTCGCCTATCACCTATCAGCTGCAAGGTCTCACTGTTGACGGCGCAGCATATCATGGCTATTGGCAGACGAATATCAATGAAGTTGAGGATCATTTCGGCACCGCGCAGGATTTAAAGAATCTTGCCGCCGAACTACACTCACGTGGCATGGTGCGTTGATCAGCGCTCGGTTTTCAAGTGAGAGCTGACCAAATTTATTGCAGTACCTCATGGTGGATATCGTAGTCAACCACTTTGCCTGGCAAGGATCACCTGACAGTGTTGACTACAGCACCTTCGTGCCTTTTGACTCGTCCAGCTACTTTCATTCGTATTGCTCGAATAACTATGATCCAAGTGATCTCGTAAGTATCCCTCAACCTTCAAGCTTCTGGAAATCACAGCAACCACTAACATGCTTCAAAAGACCAACCTCGAGCAATGCTGGATGGGATCCACGAATGTACCCCTGCCTGATCTCAAGACCGAAGCGTCAAATGTCTCCAGCGTCTGGAACTCGTGGGCGGCTCAAATCGTTTCCGAATACTCGATTGATGGCTTTCGCATCGACTCAATCATGGAGGTCAACACCGACTTCTGGGCATCATTCCAAAGTTCAGCTGGCATCTACTCGCTGGGGGAGGCGTATAATGCGGACAGCGACGTGGTTTGCGGATATCAAGACTACCTTCCAGGAGTCTTCAACTATGCAATGTACGTTGGCAATCCCTGCTCGTCGAGGCGTCGATCGGAAGTGGTCGTGTGACACAGCTGCCAAATTTCCGAGTGGCTGACCACAAGATCTGCAGGTACTTCCCGCTGATTTCCGCCTTCTCGAGTACATCGGGAAGCATGTCGAACTTGGCGGATATGATCAACGTGGTGAAGGCCGGTGGCTGTGCCGACACCTCTTTACTTGGAACATTCTCCGAGAACCACGATCAGGTATGTCGTAAGCACGGTACCATTCTCGGCAACGGGTTGCTAACATGTCGTGCGTGTGAAGCCTCGCTTTGCATCCGTCAATGGCGACATGGCTCTTGCCAAGAACGTCGTGACCTTCACCATGCTGACCGATGGCATTCCGGTCATCTACCAAGGCCAAGAACAACACTACAACGCTCTCGGCGGCAGCTCCACCCCCTACAACCGAGAAGCCGTTTGGCTCTCAGGCTACAACGAAGACGCCGACCTCTACGTCCTCCTTCAACTGCTCAATGCCGCACGAGCCAACGCCGCAAATCAGGACTCAACATACCTCACCTACCAAAACTACCCCATCTACACCGACTCCAACGTCATTGCGATGAGAAAAGGAGATATGGTCACTGTCCTGACCAACGCTGGCACGAGCGGAAGCAGCTACACCCTCTCCCTCGCCTCCGGGTACGATGCCGGCACCGAGGTCACGGAACTTGTGGGCTGCACGACTCTGACGGCCAGCGATGATGGAACCCTCTCTGTCCCCATGGCTTCTGGATTACCCAAGGTATATTATCCTACTGCTTCGCTTGGGAATGGCCTTTGTGGTGTGAGCAGTAAGCGTCGTGGGATGAAGGTGAGATCTGCGAAGTGGAGACATGGGATTGAAGATTTTTGAGGATTTGTTTTTTCTTTGCTTGTTGGTGGTTTTTGAGGATACCCGCGTTGGCGAGATTGGGTGTTGATGTTTTGAGGCGTTGTGGTTTTTTTGTTTTTGAATTGAAGGGAGGGAAAGTCAGTAAGCAAGCGGTATGATGGATGATGTGTATTGTGGTAATGTTTTTGTGTATAGTGGTGTAGTTAGGAACTTAGGGCATTATTTTGAAAGCGTGAAGGGAAGATGTGAAATTATGTTGAGTATTCTTTGGCAAGGTATTCGTTCAATTTCCTAGCTACTTTGCTTGGTATAGCGACCATCCTGTTACGGAAAGCAAGGAAGCAACAGCCCAGGGGTCGGCTGACTAATGGAGGAACGGTTACCTTCTGTAATTAACCTTCCTTTCTACATAACCATCTTCAATCACAACAATCATAACACATCCCATGATTCCCATCTTCCACGCGCTTATTTTCCATCACCACATCCATTGATGGAGTCATGGCGCACGGCAGACTTATACCCAAACGCTTCATGGATCTGCTCTGTTGTCTCGCGCAGATGTCGATAGCTCTGCGGCCAGATGCCTGACTTGCCCGGCGAAAGAATTCCGTTCGGATCAACGGCGTCCTTCAAGCGCTCGACGAACTTGCGGTACGCGAAGCCGTTGAAGTCGTTCTGCTCCGCGACCAGGTCTGCGGCACGAACGCGTCAGCACCACAATGCTCGGAGATTGGAAGCGATATGAGATCAACTCACCCATGTGATTGACATGCGCGCGGTACTTGCTGAAGCCTCTCTTCTTGCCCTCCTCAAACAGCCTGAAGAAGATGCGGTCGGTGGCGGCACAATGCTCGGGATCGGTCTTGTCGAAGATCAACATGCACACGAAGACGGCGTGCTTCTCGTGGATGAAGAAGTCGCACATGGCGTCCAGGCCTTGCGCTTCGTACACCTGCCGCGCCGTCACCACCCACTCGCGCATCACCGCGCCGTCGAGCGGGATTATCGCCGCGTAGGCCCCATGCGCACCGACACCACCACTGGACCGCACCACGAAATTGACTAATGGCAAGCTCCACAATGTCGGCACGCCGACGAACATGCCCCCGTAAGGCATCGGCACGCTCGCAGCGTCAAGCGCCCCTCCGTCGTCGGAGCGGAACTCTTGGCATTTGAAGCGACTTTCGCTTCCAGGCACTCGCTTCAGAACGCTCTTGACCACTTCGTCGTACTGCGCCTTGTTCACTGTTGGCGGGCCATAGAAACTGAACCTCACCGTCCAGTGGCCCGTGTCAAGCTGCTGCTGAATCTCCTTCAAGCGCCAGCTGGGGATTGGTCCACTCCCACTCCACCAATCGTGGCGTTTTCCGAAAATTGAAGCCCATTCCACGATGTTGAAGGCGTACGTGCTTGACAGAATCTGCCTCCGTCGAAGATCGCCAAAGACGTCGGCGATCACGTCGATGTCTTCTTCCTCTGGCATCCAGAAGCTGCAGCTGAGGATGGCCTCGGGCGCTGGCGTGAGTCCGATTCCCATCTTGATGACGATACCAAGATTGGACTGCATGAACAAGCTATCGATTCCGGGGCCGAAGGTGAACTTGGACAGGTGGCTTGATGCACTGTTACTCTGTGCCCACTGGCCTGTGCGCACAATTGATCCATCTGCAAGCATCACCTCCATGCCAGAGACATGTTCGAAGTGGTTGGCAGTCGGGACAAAGCCTTGGCCACGGTCGAGCGTATTGCCAACGACAGAGCCCCAGCCCAAGCTTGGCGTCGATGGCCAGACGTTCAGCTTTTGTCTGGCGCACTCTTTGTAGAGATCTTGGAACGTCACGCCCGGCTCCACAACGGCATACGCAAACTTCTCGTTGACTTCCAGCACTCGGTTCATGCGATGCAGATCGAGCGCTATCGAGCCAGATACGCGTGGCGAAGGTCCTCCATAGCCCAGGTTCTTGCCTCTGGAAAACGTCCATACTGGGATTTGGTACTTATTCGCCACAGCTAGAATGGATCGGAGCTCTTCGGCATTGGCTGGACACACCGCAGCGCTTGGAATTGTGCTCTGTTCATGAACCGTGGCGTAAGGGTCGATGTAATCTGACAAAGCATCTGCCGTGAAGACATATTCTGCTCCCAAAATTCCCACCAGCTCCGAGACTGCTTCTTCAAACGCTATTTGGTCTACTCCAGGAGGAAGCACATGCTTGACTGGCCCTCTTGGACGACCGGCGAAAAGCCCGTCGTGAGATTTCTGGTACTCGGGGTCGGCGTATCGTATTGGACCGACCGTTGAAGTCTCCATGCTGGATTGGATCTAGGAGTGAACGAATTGAACTACAAAGCAGGAAACACGATAACGCAATGTAATGCTGAGGACTCACAGCGTGCACAAATACCTCTACATGCACACATGGATTGTGACCTTTTCTGCTACGGTACGCCCACATTCACGGCTCAACTTCCTCACTTGCCGATCTGTGTACTCCACATGCCTCCGCAGATGATGGGGCGTAGCATTCATGACCGTCTGCGTCGTAATCAACAACGATCATGTCCCTTCATCATGCACCATGCTTCACGAGTTTGCCCTCGAAAAGAGGAGGCATTGCTGGTTCTCGGCAGATGGGAGTGCTCTACTCCGGATTCATGCGGAGTGTGGAGGTGTGGATATGTGGGTGTGGAGAACGTGGGTATCACAAGCTGAACAAGCATCGATCGGACGTCCGGAAATAATGCGAGAAGATTCAAAGAGAGGAACAACTCCAAAAGGGTAATAACGAGACACCATTTCGATGACGAATGTGTTGCGCTTGACAAGATCTATCATTCCTTAAAAACCTCCGCAACAATCGGCGCACCAACGTTCAACGTATGAAAACTCAACGGCATCGCCAACTCCAAAACCTCCAAAATCTGTCCCACACTCGCCCCATACTTCAAAGCATTCCTCATATGTTCCTTCAAACCCGAAACATACAAATGCGTGGCGGCAGCATCGAAGGCACAATAAATTAATTCTTTCTCCTAATGCGAACAAGAAAAAAAAAATCAGCAATCAGTAGTCAGCGAGGGGAAGTGGGCAAAAAGACATACCATAGGACTTAACCCCCCTTCCTTCCTCTCCCAAGGAACACTCGAGAACGCGGTATAAGCCTCGAATAACCCGGGATCCAAGCGTAATATATCATCCCAGAAAGTATGCCAATACCCACGTTTCTTCTCAAACAATCTCTTCAATTCCAACCTTCTTCCACCATCATCCTCATTCCCAGCAGTCACATTCTCCATCCCCTCCTCCCTCAACACATCCACCAAAATCGGAACCCCAATATTCGCCGCATGAATCCCCAACGTACTCGTCAACTCCAACACTTCCAACACTTCAATCTTCGTCGCGCCCAACGCTGCCGCGGCGGAAATTTGTTGGTGCATTCCCGGGACGTATAAATGTGTGGACGATGCGTCTATGGCGAGGGAGACTAGGGCTTGGAATTTTGGGGTCAGGTTTTTTTTCTTCTTGGGGAGCGAGAGGAGGGATATGATTGAGGGCATGATTTCGGGGTCGTGCGTTGAGAGGGTGGACCATGATGGGTTGGAGTACCAGGTTGTGGAGCCTAGGGTGGAGATGAAGGAGGATTTTATCTTTTCGTGGTGGGATTCGGACATAATTGTACGTATTTAGGTGGGCTGGAGTTAGGTGGATTTCTTTTTTTTTTTGTTCGTAGGGGAGGTGGGAAGTCAATTGTAAGGCTTGAGGAATTTTGTACTTCCTATATCAATCATCATCAAGCGATGTCGTTGATCAGAGAGCAGGGCTTGATACCCGGAGCTAAGGTACCCCGCCTGAAGATGAGGATAGGAAGGAATTTTGAGCACCGATCACGGATGATAGACATTGACAATTGGGCGTGTGAAGTGCGAATTCCACGGCCTTCTCAGCATTGTTACTTGAAGAGCAAAAGGCGAATGTGGCAGGCGTAGTGTGTTGAGACAGCATTATTGCAAACTGAGGAATCATTACATCGTTTCTTGCTGACCAGCAGGAATCTCAGCCAAGATGCCTTCGCCAGAGAATTGTGTTGCATTCATTGGTATGTCGAGAACAACTTAAAAGGCAGAAAGTGGAAGATCATTCTGAAAGCATTGATTAGGCCTTGGTGTCATGGGCTATCCCATGGCCATCAACCTTCGAAAGAAACTCCCTCAAGAGACAACCCTATACATCAGCGATATCAGCGAGGCAGTGATCGAGAAGTTCTACCAGGAAACAGCAGGCCAAGGTCCAGTTGCAGTCGCCGCCACTGGTCTCCACGCTGTCCAGGTCGCTGATATAGTCATCACCATGCTTCCGGACTCACCTGCAGTGAAATCAGTCTATCTCGACTCCGGCACTGGGATCCTGGCCGGAGTCTCCGCCATAGCATGCAAAGGACCTGTCAAAAAACTCCTAATCGAGTGCGGCACGATCGAACGAGCGACGATTGACAAAGTGAGCGCTGCGGTCGAGACGTGCGCCCAAAGCTTGCCGGCTGGCTCGAATATTGATTTCAGCGACGCGCCAGTTTCTGGTGGACCGATGGGTGCTCAAGCAGGCACGCTCGCCTTCATGGTTGGGACCAACAACCCCGAAGCCCGATTTCCCCAGATCAAAAACATCCTCAAGCCCATGGGGAAAGAGTCATCAATCTTCCTTTGCGGCCCAGTAGGCGCGGGCGTGTCTTTCAAAGTCATCAACAATTACATCTCGGCCATCACATCTCTTGCCTCGAGCGAGGCTTTGAATATGGGCGTCAAACTTGGGTACGATCCGAAGACGCTTACGCAAGTTATCAATGCGAGTGGAGGCCAGAACTGGGTCGTTTCGCATTCGAATCCTGTGCCGGGAGTGCAGGAGAACGTGCCTTCGTCTAGAGATTACGAAGGCGGGTTCCGTATTGAGCTGTGCAAGAAGGTTTTGGAGATGGGGATCGAGTTGGCAGAGCAGGCTGGAGCTAGGACGGTCCTTGACAAGCCTACCCTTGCAGCTTTCGAGGAAGCGGCAGCGGACGATCGATATAAGGGGAAGGATGCCAGAGTCGTTTATAAATGGTTGAGCGAGAGCCGTTCGACTTGAAGGCGTTGCTGGGCTGGGAGAACAGCCAAGGCCTCGCAGAAGGGACTGATTTCATTATTGTAATCCGCATGGTTGTGGGTTTGTGGAGAGTGTGGCCTTTACTGGTGGAGGAGTGAAGTGGGGTGCATTTGGCTTAGGGTTCAGAGGTTGTCCGGCAGTTCGTTTAGACATTTTTCCCACACAACAGTAGTCGACGAGGCTGGTAGTCGGATCAAACATCACCGGCATGACCGAGCTGGTGACATGTACGATACCTTTTCCATCCCCTTGCTTGCATTCACGTTATGCGTCAGAGGTTAGATTTTCTCTGAAACCCGTGCTCAGCTCAACAACATGGCTCAAGCTGTCAACAAAGACTTCAAAGTTCTCGTGGTAGGAGCCGGCCCGTCTGGGCTGCTTCTAGCCGTCCTGCTGGCAAAACACGGCATCAAAGTAACAATACTTGAGAAGACGGCCGAGCTTGACAAGCAGCCTCGAGCATCATTCTACAGCGCGCCTGCGATCTTCGAATTCAAACGAGCAGGCATCTGGGACGATGTCGCTGAAGTGGGATACCATGGATCGGGAGTGTGCTGGAGATATCTGGATGGCACTTACATTACTGGCATCGATGCTTACAAGCTTCCGAAAGATTTGAGAAATGTGTCCTTACCACTCACCGAACTTCTTCCACTTATTAAGGGCCATTTAGATCGGTATCCGTCGGCGGAAGTTTTGATGAGCCATGAAGTTGTTGGCCTTGGCCAGGATGAGAAGCAAGCGTGGGTTGATGTCAAGACTCCAGATGGCGAGAAACGGCTGTTCGCGGATTACATCGCAGGCTGTGATGGCGGGCAAAGCACCGTTCGACGCCTTCTTTTGGGCCCATCATCCTTCCCTGGGAAGACGTGGGAGAAACAGATTGTAGCGACGAATGTGCGATATCCGAAATGGCCCTCCTTTGACTGGCCGACTTCCAACTTCATGATCCATCCCGAGCATTTTTCCATGATTGCTCAGCTTTCAAATGACCGACTGCTGAGGGTCACGTATGGTGAAGAATTGGGCCTGTCGAATGAGCAGATGCGCGAGCGATTACCTTGGAAGTTCAGGACTCTCGTTCCCGGAGCTCCGGAGCCAGGAGAGTATGAAGTCGTTGGGTTCAGCCCGTACAAGATTCATCAGAGGTGTGCCGAGACATTGCGGAAAGGAAGATTTTTGCTTGCAGCCGATGCTGCACATCTTTGCAATCCATTGTAAGTGTACTGAGCTCGATGAGTGCGACCAAATTCTTTCGCGATTGCTGACCAGGGGGCATTCAGCGGTGGCATGGGTTTGACTGGAGGCTTTGTCGACATCGGTGGACTCTACGAATGCCTCTATGGCATTTACGCCGGCCTTGCCGACGAGAGTATTCTGGACAAATATGATACGGTTCGTCGAGAGAAGTTCTGGCAGGTCATCGATACGATCAGTAGTGGTAACATCACACGGCTCTGGGATCCTTCGCCTGAAGTTGTCGGAAATGATTGGTTCTTGAATCTTTTGAAGCAGGCTGAGGCTGATGAGTCAGGGAAGATGCTTCGTGATATGACTTTGGTACGTCTCGCTCTGCGGGCTTTGTGTAGGTCTTGCTGACTCGGGGTGCTAGGGGGTCAACGCAGTGATGCACGACTTCACGCAGTATTATCACAAAGATAGCGATCCAAGTATACCATTGCCGGCGTCATATGCCAGCCAGATGACAGACTGATGATCTCGAAGGATATGGGAATTGCTACAGGGGGAAGGGGAGGTAGCGGGCGGGTGCTTGGTCGGTGGCGAAGGGCGGTCCCGTTTGCATACTGTATTTCGTCCTCTGGCCAAGCTGCGTTTCGGATTTGATAGAAGTGTCCAGATCTCTTACGTCCGTATTGTCGTATGTTAGCATCGGGGATGAAGCAGAATCTGTACCGAACATCGGGGTCGGATCACAAGGAAAGTTTGAACCTCGGTGTTCGACTTCAGTTGCCGGGGTAGTACCGTACGCCGACCTACAATATTGAATCTACATACATTCTCATCTTCTTCTAGACCTTGATCCATACCTAAATCTCTCCCTGGAACTGAAGCAGAAAAAAATCACTCAGCATAAAATCAATCATCTAAAAATGTCCCTCCCATCAACCTACAAATCCATCCACCTAGCAACCCGACCAAAAGACCACATAACCCCCGAAACCTTCACCGTAAGACAACACCCAACCCCCTCCCCCTCCTCCCTCAAAGATGGCGAAGTCCTCTTCCAACCAAACTACTGCTCCCTCGACCCCGCCATGCGCGGCTGGCTCAACGACACAAGATCCTACATCCCGCCCGTAAAACTCGGCGCCATCATGCGCGGCGAAAGCGTCGGCCGCATCATCGCCTACCTCCATTCAGGCTTGCGGGATGAAGAATTACGTAACGAAGACTTTCATTAAGCTTTGACTAGACTTTCACGACATTTCAACGACACCTAACTGATTCTTCTCCTATAAGCCTGAGAACAAACCGGGCTAAAACAGCCTATAGAATACAGCTGTCTGCCCTCGAAGGCTACAACTTAACACCTCTACAATAATAGGATAATACAAAGCAACTGAGGCCCTTCTTGATACCTTTAATAAGGCCCTCCAACTCTAAGATAGCACGCGACAAAGCGTTATTGTCGTATTCTAACTACTGCGACAAAAGCCAGATTACGACAAAAGTCTTAGCGTTTCCTCTCGATAGCAAGATAGCGACAACATTAACGAGGACTAGGTCTTAAACACTTCGGAGATCCTTCTTTATAGTGCCTATAAGAAGCTCGTATAATCTAGGTCTTCGAAGGATTAGGCGTTATAGTTAACTAGCTCTTAAGGGTAGCAAATTTGTCTTAAAATCCGGAATCGTACGGACAACTAGCCTTAGTATATAGAAGATAGAGCCTATAGTACTCGTATTAGCGAATGCTTTGTATAGGAACATATAATCTTCTTATTAAGGCGCAGGACCCTTTTTCTACATTTGTCTTCGTCTAATATAGTTATTGTCCTATATATTAAAAAGTGCTAAAATCCTACGGGCAATTATATAGAGGACGAACGGTTTAGTTTTAGGCGCTCCGCTATAGGCTTCGCTTAGTCCGCTAACCCGTATATAGAATAGTCTCTTATAATACAAGAATAGTTACTTATAGAAGGAAGTGTAGAAGATATTACAAGTTAGAAGGTCTAAGTAGCCTATAAGAGCGGGGCGCCTAAAAGGAGGTAGATTATCGCCTTAAAATCTTAAAAATTCTCGAAAGGAGAACTCGTCGTTGCAATGTCTAGATAGACGGAAATCGCAGTTTTGAAAGATAACCTTATTACGAAAATTACTTTGCCCCCAAATAGGAGACCTTCTAATGCGCTAGGCGTGCTAGGGATAACGGGGTTAACAGCGTATTTTAGGATTTTAAATATAGGAAAGGTAAAAGCTAGGGATTTCGTAGTAGTTTCTAGAGCGGCGGGGGCGACGGGGAGTATAGTAGGACAGATTGCGAAATTGAAAGGAGCGACAGTAATAGGGATTGCAGGGTCGGAGGCGAAATATAAATAGTTAGTAGAAGAACTCGGATTTGATAGAGCGTTAAATTATAAGGGAAAGAATTTTACGAAAGAGTTTCGGGAGGCGACGAAGAGGTTTAGATTAATCGATATGTTTTTCGATAATGTCGGAGGGGAGGTTTTAGATTTAGCGTTAAGTCGGGCGAAGGAGCATTCGAGGTTTGTAATATATAGGGGGATTTTACAGTATAATTCTAGGGAGATAAAGGGGCCGAGGAATTATTTAATAATTGTTAGTATAAGGATTCGCATAGAGGGGTTTGTAGTTTTTAATTTTAAGAGGGAGTATAAGAAGGCGCGAAAGGATTTGGCGCTATAGTTAGCTAAGGGGAAGATTAAGAGGCAGGAAACGATTGTAAAGGGTGGGATTAAGAAGATGCCCGAGGCGCTAAGGGCGTTGTTTAAAGGGAAGAATACGGGGAAAATAATAGTTGAGATTAAGGCGCCGGATAGGGAGGAGTTTAGGTCGAAGTTGTAGAGGGGGCTGTTAGCTTTGAATGAGACCTAATGCCTTAATGAGCTAGTGTCTATGTTAGATTTGAGTTGTTGCTCGTAACTTTTATACGACGTTCCTTCTCCTTATCTTATACGTAGTTATACCTCTAACTACTTTATCTTATCAATCAATTAACCCTCCTTACCCTAACAAAACTCCCTAACCTCTCCTTAACCCTCCGAATCGCTATCTCCGCCCTTAAACTCTTCTCCCTATACTTATACATTAAATAACTCATTCCCCTAACCTGTCTCGCCGTCCTCCTTACCTATATCCGCGTAAGCGCATTATACAAACTTAACGCCTCAGATTTTTTCCTTAATCCAAAGCTATTCAAACTAGCACGACTGTTATCGAGACTCTTTATTTAGGTCTAGACTAAAGCTTATTATCCTAGTCTCCGACGAAGCCCGTACCGAACTTATCCGAATCGTTAACTAAAGCAGGATCTTCCTTCTCTTTACCCGTACCCTTCTTTGCTCGCTTCTCTTTTATCTTATTAACCTTCGCACCGAAGGATCTTAGAGCCGTATTACCTAGCTCTTCTTTATCTAATATCTAATGCTCGATCTATACGCTATACGAGTAGTATCGAACTATTCTTACTTTGCGCTTCTAGCCTATCCGATTCTCCTTCGTCTTCGCCTATTTACTCGCTACTAGGTTCTAGTTAAGGTCGGCTATAAGTAACAAGTTCGCTTCGACTATATTATAGCTACGCTTAGCTATGCTTATAGAGCAGACGAGAATGTCTACGCCCGACGTCTAGGACCGATTAAACTCTACGATTAGTTGTAATCGCTAGCTAGCGTCCTTCGGCACCCTTAAGTTAAATAGCTACGACTTTAGACTAGCCTTCTTATACGCCTAGATAGAAGTGTTAGTATATTGCTTTAGCTCTTGTTTACGAAGGTAGAGCTTACTAGATTAATAGTGTAAGCTACTGCGTTAGAATAGCTTATTACTACGGCCTTACGGCCCTTGTTATCTTTAACGGTATTAGCCGTCTGCTTCTTAAGCTCCGCGATAATGTCCTTAATACGTAGGCTTTCTATAAGCTCGTTAAGGAAGTAAGTATATAGGTTTATATCGGGCTTAAAAAGCTAGCCGAAAGACTTAATCTCCTTTATAGTAAATTCTATTTCCTACTCCTTAGTAGATACCGGCGCGTAGCCTTTACGCTCTAGATTATTGTTCCTTACCTTAATGAACTTGTTAAGGGCCTTGCTATAGTTCTTCCGTACCTAGTCGGTTATTCGAGTCGGCAAGGTAAGGCCGCGCTTATCTTTAGATAGTAGAGGCGATAGGGTAGTTCGAATTCGTATCCTATAAGAGCCGAGGAAAAACTGCCTCTACGTAACTGCCTTAGCGTTAATCTTTCCTAAACGGATCTTCTAGTTAATACTCCGCTTTAGCTTTTCTACCTAATTATTTAATTCGTTAATTATATCCTAAGGCAGCTTAATGTTCTTTAGCTCCTTATCTGTATTATCTAATAGTCGCATCTTCTATTCGGGCTTTGTTACGTTAAACGGCTAGACCGATTTGTATATCCGTAGTATAAGAAAGTGCCTTAATACTAGTATAAGTAAGTTAGCTATTAGGATTTTAGGCTCCTTAATAGAACCCTTTTTCTAATACTCTCCGCCTAAAGCTTTCTCGTAGCGATTGATTATCCTCTTAAAGCCCTCGCCTAGAGGCTTACTTCTAAACTCGTTCTATGCTTTAAAGTCCTTCTAGTAGTTAGGGTCGGATCGCCCCCTATTATTATAGCGAGCTAAGGCGTCGAAGACTCTAAACCATTTAATTATCGGCTTCTACGTTCTAGCGATTAGGGTACCTATTACGAAATACACCGTATATTTCGTGTTATAGTTTACGCTTAGCTTGCGAAGCGTACTTATACTGTTCGTATATATTCTATACTCCTCGTTAGCCTCGTCTACTACGATAGCTCTAACTAGCAGAGTGTTATAGGCCGCGGTTTTAAAATCAGTCGAGCTATTTGCGTAAGGCCTGCCCTCTTAGGTCCTTCTAAACTATACGGTCGAGATAGAGAAATTCTAGTTCTCGTAGAATACGTAGAAACGACCCTTTAGTACGAATACGAGCTTCTTATATAGACCGAGGGGCGCCTTAGTAATAATTGGATTTTGCGTAGAGCCCGGATAGTTAACTCCCTTCTAGTACTTATCTACTTTAAGAGTCGCAACGCGATTAGGCGCAAAGCGTATTACGTCTCCCCTTTTAAAGAGCTTAACACTATCTATTTCCTCTTTCGTATTATCTATATTAGGCGGGTTGAAGTTGTACAGTTTAATACCTAGCTCCTTAAAGTCCGTATAAGCTAGGAATTTCTTTATAGTGTCGGGTTTTAAACCGGCAGTTAGGCACAGAATTATAATGCCCTTACGAAGCCTAAAACTACGCTATAGGTCGCGCTACTTATATCTATAGGGGATAGAAAACTTATTCGTAGATAGGTATTTCGAATTTTCTGTACCCCGTAGAAGGTGTTTCTCTAGATTATCTCTGTTTTTAGCGTAGTCTTTAAGTATATCGGTAATCTGCTTATAAAAAACGAAGATTAAAAGTTGCTCTATAGTTTTGCCGAGACCTATAATATCGCCTAAGATTCCTCCGGCTTCTCGAGTATACTACGGTCGGTAGAATATAAGCTAAGTAGCTCCGAACACTTAGTAGGCGTATAGCTTTGTCTTAAAGCCCGGTAGGGCGATAGGTGTTTTAGGATCTACGAAAAGTTTAGGCGACAGACGTAGATAGAGGTAGATGCGTTTAACGTGCTCGTACGTTATCTACTCTAGCTCGGTAGTATAACTCTAGTTAAGATCCCCTGCCTAGGTTTGCTTAATACGGTCGAGGAGCTCTTTATAGGTCTAACTTAGAATATAAGGGGTCGCCTCTGTCTGCTCCTCTAGGTCGTCCGGCTCCGGAGTATACGTATCTATATTAACTATAGGCTAAGCGCGTCTAGCAGTCCTGCTATTCCTTATAGGCTCCGAGTTAGAATTAGAGTCGAGCGGCCTAGTACGAGCATAAGGATCTCGTATACGTTTACTAGTATCTAACCCTCTTCCGTTTCTCGTTAGACTATTATTAAGACCTTTACTCGATCTATATAGTTACATCGATATATCATCTATAGAACGCTAAGAACCTAAAGGATATAGATAACTTTCTTAGGGAGTAACGATCCTAGGCAAAGCTCCTAGCGCGGTAGTGTCTATAGTCGACTCTTAACTATTTTCCTTAAGTCTAGAACCTTAAGCATTCTCTTAAGCATTCTCTTAAGCATTCTCTTAACTATTTTCCTTAAGTCTAGAACCTTAAGCATTCTCTTTAGGATTCTGTTAAGTATTCTCTTAAGGATTCTGTTAAGCATTCTCTTAAGGATTCTCTTAAGGATTCTCTTAAGCATTCTCTTAAGGATTCTCTTAAGCATTCTCTTAAGCATTCTCTTAAGCATTCTCTTAAGCATTCTCTTAAGGATTCTCTTAAGCATTCTCTTAAGCATTCTCTTAAGCATTCTCTTAAGCATTCTCTTAAGTATTCTCTTAAGGCGTAGAGGGTACGGCTAGAGCATTCGGCGCGGTAGTAGTTACAGTCGACGTATAACTGTTTACATTAAGTCTAGAACCTTGAGCCTGCTATAAAGATACCGGCGTAGGGGCAGGCGGTAACTTAAGATCTCTAAGCTTAACAACCTTCGGTAGAGCTCTACCGAATAGAATAGGGCGCTTATCGTTAGGCGACGGTGTCGATACCCTCGATAATAGAGGGATACTAAATGCGGCGCTACGTAAGAGTTCGCTAGATTAGAGACCTAACCGCTATCGGCGCTACTTATAACGACGCTCCTATATCTCTAGGCTAAATAGTAGCTTCTCTCTTAGCTATAAGTCTTCCGACTCTACTAAAGCTATAGCAGCTATAGCGATCGGACTGCTCGCATTCGTTTTCCGCTTCTTCTCAATATGCCTATTAATATCTCGGCCAAATATCGCGCGAGCCTTATTATCGAATTTCTTGTTTGCCTATTCGACAAAATCTAGCTCGTATTCTTATAGCTCTAGTTAGTAGCCGATAAACAGTAGTATTTTAACACCCGCGGCGCCGTATCTACCGGCTATACTGTATTTAGTAACGGCAGCTTCGAACTTACTGTTATCGGTAATCTTATTCGTATCGTCCTCGCCTAGGTTTACTACTGCGATTACGATGTCTAACTAGTTAGTAATGTGAAACTTAGACCTTAACTAATCCTCTAGGAGGTTATACGACAAATCTAGGTATAACAATCGATAATTACCTTTATAAACAAATTTCTTTAGAGTCGTAGAGGGCGCTTGCCTAAGATATCCTACCTATAGTATCGAAAATAGTTAGCCGAATAGCTATGCGACAAGCACTATGTCTAACCGATCGACTACGGCTAGCGTAATAGTATAGGTATTCCTAGCCTAGGGCGTCTAGAGTCTTCTAGTAGATATAGGGAATGTAGATCCCGGCTACTGTATTTGCAATTTTCGACTAGTAGTAAAGTCTCGACTACCCTAATCCTAGACGCTATTTATATCCCCGCCGCTAGGGTTTGCTTCTATTAGAAGGACTTCACTCGCCGCCTTGTTATTTAATGTTGTCTTTAATAAGCTCGCTAATAATAGTATAGGTCTTAGGCGGCGGCTAGATAATAGCGTAGGTATTTAACTAGGCTCGCGCTTAGGCGTGTCTTTATTAGTCTATTGTTGCTTAATAAAGATAGACTACCCTTTGCGGATCTTAGAGTCCGATATACCTAGACT